ATTGTGCTGCTGTAATCTCCTTATAAGGAATACATGATATCAGGGAAAACCCGATAATGGACAGATATATTGGCCACATGGACCCGGGACCAAGCCCTGTTCATTTAATAACTTGGGGGGATGTTTCGGGTTTAGGGTTTAGGGTTCGCCAGCGCAGTGCTGGCGCACTGGTCAATTCCGTTTTTTAACATTTTCAAGCAATTTCTCTTCCCTAGGGGGGTAGCCCTAATCCCAAAAGTTTTTGGTTAATTCCATTTTCTCGTTTCAATACTTGGGTGGGTGGCGAATTGCCTTTTCTAGATCCTTCCAAGCCCCCAAAGTCCAGGCCCCCAAATCCCCCAAACTGGGTTTTTGGCCTTTTCGAAGCTCCCTCCAAGCCCCCAACTGGGTTTTTGGCTTCCCAAGCCCCCAATCTGGGCTTTCGGCCTTTTCCAAGCCCCCTTCAAGCCCCCAAACTGGGCTTTTTGGTGTTTTTTGTTTTTTCGAGGCTCCAAGCCCCCAAACTTGCTTTTTGGCTTTTTCCAGGCCTTTCAAGCCCCGAAATTTGGTTTTTGGCTTGTTCCAGGCCCCTCCAAGCCTTCAGACCGGGTTTGGCCAAACTAGGTTTCTGCCCTTCCAACCCCCCAAACTGGTTTTTGACCTTTTCCAAGCTTCCTCCAGGCCCCCAAACTGGGTTGTTCCAGGCAAGAATCCCAACTGCTTTTTCCAGACCCCTTCCAAGCCACCAAACTGGGTTTTGTGGCAAACTTCCTCCAAGCCCCCAAACTGAGTTGTTGGCATTTTCCAAGTTCCCACAAACCACCAAAAGCCACCAAACTTGGTTTTTTTGAGCTTTTCCAAAGCCCCTTCCAAGCCACCAAACTGGGATTATAGCCTTCCAAGCCACCAAACTGGGATTATAGCCTTTGCCAGGCCCCCTCCAAGCCTTCAAATTAAATTTTTGGCCTTTATCAAGCCCCCTCCGCGTTGGGTGCACCATACTTTTCGTCTCGCATCTCGGTACGGACCCTTCTAGCCTTACGTCTGAACTTAAGGTTGGAGAACTTCGCATGGCACAGTCTCTTTCTCACAGGACAAAGACGCGATTGTGAATGCCCCAGAACTTGTTGTCTGGAATCTGCCAGTCGCACTTCGGCGCCTCGACGCGCGGGTCGACCTTAGAGCCACGCTTATAGGTCGACAAGGGCACTCGAGGCAGTCAGGCGCTGGGGCCTCGTCAGTTTTCGGTTCCGCTGCCTCGCAGCAAATGGACTCCTGTTTCGACATGCATGCAGAGGAACGGAGGGCAAAGACGCGATTGTGAATGCCCCAGAACTTGTTGTCTGGAATCTGCCAGTCGCACTTCGGCGCCTCAACGCGCGGGTCGACCTTGAGCCACGCTTAGGTCGACAAGGGCACTCGAGGCAGTCAGTTGCTGGGGCCTCGTCAGTTTTCGGATCCGCTGCCTCGCAGCAAATGGACTCCTGTTTCGACATGCATGCAGAGGAACGGATACGGCGTGAGGGTTCTTGCGTCCTGCTCGTCTTCCAGCTCGCTGCAGTCCTGAAGGTCGTCCAAATCGATGAGAGTCTCTTGGACGTGGATTGTATTAAATATACATACCGTAGTGCGCACTTTAAGGTAGGCTCCTCGGTAGCGGCGGCCGGTACTTCGACCACCCAACCGCGCTGTTCGGCACACTGCTGACCTGCAAGTTCAGCGAAGCACAATCCCTTATCGGTATGCAAGAAACAAGGCAGCGGCAGAGGAAGGTGGGCTGTTCTGACGCGCTCTCCGGGTCTTCGCCCAACAAAGAGTCCGGGCAGTGGCACACCTTGGAACATGGATAAGCTCCGAGCCAAGGTCGTTTGCAGGCTAGTTTCGGATTGAGATCCAGGCAGGCGGAACAACCAAAGCCGGGGAGCTCACACAGTACAACAGACATGTTACCACCCCTGACCCCACCCTCCCGGCTGGGGGGCCAGGGGGCCCCCAAAGCTCCAGACCCAAACTGGTTCGAACTACCAATCCCGAAAAAGTTTTTCCAGCCCTTCCAAACCCTAGAGGTTTTTGGTTTTTGCCCAAACCCCCAAACTCAATTTTTAATTTTTTTTCAGGCTCCCAAGCCCTCTCCAAGCCCCAGCTGGTTTTTGTTTTTTTCCAGGCCGCCGTTGGGTTTGTGGCTTTTTCCAGGCCTCAAACTGCTTTTCCAGCCCCTTGCATGGGTTTTTGGCCTTTTCCAGACCCCCTCCAAGCCCACAAACTGGGTTTTTGGCCTTTCCAAACGCCCTCCAGGTCCACAAATTGTGCTGACCTTCTCCAATCCCGTTTCAGCTTCGCCTTGGCCTTGGCCATGGCCCACGCCAGGATTTTTGCTTTTTTTTTCAACCACCAAGATGAGCCTTATTTCAATGACGGTTCAATTTACTTAAACCGCCAATTTACTTAAACCGCCAATTTAATTAAACTGAATTATGGTTGTCGCTTGCTTTCTTTAAATCCCGCTTTCCTTCTGCTCTTCAAACCACAACCTGCGCAAGCGCATCTTCGGCGCAAGCCGTTTAAAATTTAGGGTTTAGGGTTTCGGGTTTAGGGTTTCGGGTTTAGGGTTTAGGGCTTAGGGTTTAGGGTTTAGGGCTTAGGCCCAAGCATCGGGAGCGGTGTCGACTCCAAGCGGCTATCTTGTAGGGCGGGCACCTGGGCATCAATGAAATCGTCCACATCAGAGGCTGCGGAAGGTTCCGATGCCCCCAGCGCCCGTGTGACACAAACGCCATGCCTGGTCGACTTCAAAGAAATCCTCGTAGAACACCCTTGTGGATCCATTAAAGGATTCCTTGAAGAAGCCTCGAAAAGGTGGCCGTTCAAGGAATCCAATAGCGCCCTTAGAAGATCCCTTACAAGGATACCCCTTACAGGACTTGTTAAAACCCTTATACAACCTTTAAACCCTAAACCTAAAGCCCTCAACCCTAAACCCTAAGCTGAAAATCTCAAGCCTGAATCTCAGCTTGCCTTCACCAATGTTTTCCTATAGGTACATGGTGACTATGGTACATAATTACAGTCATTTGCAGGTAAGAGCATGTCTGTAAACATTACTATTTCTACAGACAACACTGTCATTTAATACCCTGAACCCAACAGGTTGGAGCTCGGATCGGAAAACTGACTCTCGAGTGCTCGTGTGTGCCCAAAGGGGCCGCGGCCCGTTTCTGCAGCAAAGCAGCGCCGTGCTTTATGTTTGCCTGATCTCTTAGCTATCCGGGGTCTTTGTGTGCCCAAGGGGTCAAGGCCACATTCTGCAGCAAAACAGGGCGGTTCTTTGTGCGTGCCTGCTCTAAACCTCCTAAGCCTTCGCCCTCCCCTCCTGCGATCTGGAAATCTGGGGCTGATGTTTGCCTGCCAAATTCTTCTTATAAGGTAAACATTTTAAACTAGGCTGGTTGCACAACTCGAGGTCCACAGGTTTTTTTTTTTGGTGTGTGTGTGTGTGTGTGTCTGCTCGTCCCCTAGCCCAGATCGAAAAATTGATCCTCGAGTGCTCGTGTGTGCCCAAAGGAGTCGGGGCCTCTTTCTGCTTCAAAACAGCGTCGTGCTTTGTGCCTGCTCTAAACCATCCGGGGCCCCTGTGTCCATGCGAGGGGTCGGGCCCCCATTCCGCAGCAAGACAATGCCTTCTTCGTGTGTGGTTTAAACCATTTGTCTTCTTGCTTTGAAGCCGAATCTGTAGTTATTTCGGGCGGCCCAAGACGAGAATGTAAACATATGACTTTCTAGTCAATCTGGAAGTAAATGGTACTTGTAGGTCATAAGTACAAACATTTACCAGTAAGTGCGTTTCTGTTTACCAGCAAAAGGTAACTCACAGATATTTACCACTCAGTGCTTCTCTGGGTGTATTGCTTTCCGTGATGCTACCCGAACTCCTCCATTCAACTGCACTTTTCTGTATGTATTCTTTGACTTGGGTACGCTTAAGAACTTAAGTTTCTTACACAAGTTTCGGGTGGCTTCCCGGATAATTAAAGCTCCACATTCGTGGCGGAATTCTCTTGCTCTGCAAATATCGGAAATACGTCGCAAATGCTTCGCTCCACGCAAACTTATACACCTACTGCGGACGTTTGGTCGACACACCTTAACTTAACTAAACCCTAGCCCTAAAGGCCTCAACCCTGAACCCTAAGCCCTTAAAGAACCAAGGATCCCTTCTAAGGATCCCCCTTAAAGGATCTCTTAAAGGATTTTCTTAAGGGGCCCTTTCCCCGCCTTGTCGAATACTTATAGAACCTGCCAAACCCTGAACCTTAACCCCTAAAGGCGTCAACGCTAGAACCGTAAAGTACCAAGGATCCCTTATAAGGATCCCCCTTTAAAGGATCCCTTGAAGGACCCCTTAAGGATCCCCCTTGAAGGATTCCTTAAAGGACCCCTAACCCCCAAACCCTAAACCACCCTAAACCCTAAATCCCCAATAGTACCCGCATAGTAACCCTGATAGATCCCTTAAAGTATGTCTGGATACCCTTAAAAGGATCCCCCTTTAAAGCACCCCTTTACAGTAGAAGCCAGAAAGTTGGAATATCATTATCGTAACCGCTTTAAGGTAAATTACAGGGGATCCTACCATTAATCCATATTCCAACTTTCTGGAGCTCCCTCTAAAAGGATCCCCTTTTAAAGCACCCCTTTAAAGGATGCCCCTTTAAAGCACCCCTTTAAAGGATGCCCCGTTAAAGGACCCCTTTAAAGGACCCCTTCTCCGCCTTGTCGGCGCCCCAAGGGCTCCACCGAGCCTCCCCGGGTGCCGCGCAGGGGGGCAGTTGGCTCCGGCCTCGCCTCAGCTTCGGGGTCTTTGGGGTTTTAAGGCTTTTGGGGGGTTTTGGGGGGTTTAGGGTTTAGGGGTTTAGGGTTAAGGTTTAGGGTTTAAGGGGTTCTATAAGTATTGGGGCTTTGGGGGGTTTGGGGTTTAGGGTTTAGGGGTTTAGGGTTAAGGTTTAGGGTTTAAGGTAGTTGAAGGTTTAGGGTAGCTTCGGGGTCTTTGGGTTTTGGGGCTTTGGGGGGTTTTGGGTTTAGGGCTTAAGGTTCAGCAGCACTGGTCAAGCAGTATCTAGTAGAGTTCGCTATATTATGGAACATGGAATAATGCCCACCCACTCAGAGAATCCCAAAACATGAGGAGTTTAGGGTTTAAGGTTGAAGGTTTAGGGATATTTGGGTTTGGGTTGTTAAGGATCCTTTAAGGATTCCTTTGAAGCCTTCCGTACTGGTTTAGGGTTCCAATACCCGCTGTGCCCTAAGCCCTCCAAATTGCAGGGAGTCTTCGGTTCAGGGTTTAGGGTTTAGGCTAATTAGGGTTTAGGGTTTAGGGTTTAGGGTTAGGGTTCAGGGTTTAGGGTTTAGGGATGATCCTCCATGCCAGCTGGTTTGCCTCTTCTACGCGATCAGCAAAGACCGAACATGATCTACCACAGCCGTTCTTTGGCGAACCGCGTAGTCACTGACAAGAAGGGGTGGACTGTTCGCAGCAAAGAAAGTTAAAAACTGCGGCCGAAACCGTACGAGCTTCTCGTACAAATGCCGACCACTCAGTTCAGATTTTGGATCTGTCAAGGTCCTGTAGCTCTGCAGTGCCGCGTCCAGCTCCCTGATACTGATGAAGCGTCTTGCTCGGCACATTGCATAGACGGGAGATGGTGCGTTCGGGTCGCAAACTTTGACCCGCGTCTCCGACGCTATAACCCACAACCGTAAACCCCCGAACCCACAGCCCTAAATTAACCCCTAAACCCACATACCGCAACCCCCAAACCCTACACCTACTCTAAACGACTAAATCCCACAACCTAAACCCACCCTACACTCAACATCCCAAAACCTAAAACAACCCTGAACCTTGAGAATCCAAAAACCTACACAAGCCCAAAACTCTAAACCCAAACCCCTAAACCCGAAAACCCAAAACCCCTTAACCCACAAGCCCAAAACCCTGAACCCCTAAACCCACAACCCTGAACCCCGAAAGCCAAGCCCTAAACTCCAAAACCAACACTCTAAACCCCTAAGCCCTAAACTACCAGAAAACCCTTAAAGTACCCTTATAGTATCCCTTAAAGGAGCCCTAAACCCAAAAACTTCGAGGTTTGAGGAAAGCTGCGCCAGGCTTTGGAGCTGCCACATAGCAAGGTGCCACCTTGAGTTAAGGCTTTGGGGTTTGGGTAAGAAGGGGCCCCCACCCTGTAATGGTGGTATATTAGGAAGATAATAGGGCCCTAATACGATCCTTATAGTCACTTTTACAGGGTGGGGACAGCTTCTAAGGTTTGGGTACGTGCACCGCACAATCACGATTCTTTCGTCGTTTGCTCTCGGAATCACTGAAGTGCACCAAACATCCCTCGTACCCGGGACAGCCCAAGCGCCATTCATAGACTTCTTTGTGCGCATGGCAGATTGTGAAGCCCCATGATTCTGTTGATGACATAGTTTTAGGATTTAGGGCTTTAGGGTGATGATAGAAATCCTAGCGTTCCTTTAAAGGGATCTATAGGGTACCTTTAAGGGGCTCTTTTAAGGGATCTATAGGGGTTTAGGGTTTAGGGATATAAATCCTGCATTACCTTAAGGAGCCAAAACTATGGGAACTATGGTATACTCCTTATTATGGCTAATGCAGGATTTCTATCATCAACCGTTCTACGAAGCCTCTTGAAGGCCTTACGGTAAGGGCCCAAAAAGCACATAAGCATAAGCATTTTATAGGGATATCCCTACCTTTCTGGGCTTCATTATCAGGGGGGTTATATGGCTCCTCCAGGCGGCATCGCTCCAGGCGGCGATCGGCGTCGCTCTTCTTGATCAGCCGCCCTCTGCTTTTGCTCCTCACGCGAGCCGTCGATGGCCTCTTGCAGAATCCGATATCCGCATCAAGCTGCAGCTGCCACTGTGAGGTGAAGCCAGCCCCTAAACCCTAAACCCTAAACCCTAAACCCTAAACCCTAAACGCCACCTCCGCCGGGGCCGAGGGCTCCGCACACTGGTACTTCAGGCACCCCCCATTCTCCACCGCTCGGAGCCAGAATTCCCAAGCAGAAGCATTGCCATTGACAGCGCCCAGCCCTGGGTTTAGGGTTTAGGGTTTAGGGTTCCTTCGTGTTCAGCTAGGTGATTGCTAAGGCTACGTGTTGCCTATCCTTTTGTTTGCTTATGTGCTATTTTTTGGTCCTAATTAAGGGAAAAGCTTCAACACAAGCTGATACATCGCCTGACCCGAAGCAACCATGAATCCCACGTCTAAGGCCTCTCCATCCCTCAGTCCACACGGTAGTTCTAAAAGCCCTATCCCTGGGGATCCATCTGAATATATACCCTAAATCCTCAAGCAAAGTTCGTAAACTTTAACCCCCAAATACCTACCTGTCAAATCCTTTCATAAGGAAGTAACCCTAAAACAGATATGGTTTTCAGGGTTCAGATACATCCCACCCTCACCCTACCTTAAGCCCAAAGCCCTGCAGGGGATCCGAACGCCGACACGCTGGGGCAGCACTAGGCACCTGGCTTCAACTTGCAAGCCATGGACGATTTGGCTTTCGGAAATTATTTTGTGGAGGGTTCTGTAGCACTAAACCCTGACCCTCACCATAACCTTGAACACCCGTAACCTCTAAAGCCTAAACCCTGTAAGCCCTAAACCCTAGACCCCCTCAGCCCTAAACCCTAAACTCAGAATGCTGGCATTTCGGATGTGGGAGATTGGGGCTTTAGGGATTCCATGCTTCAGGTTCAGTCTCACAGGGCCGCTACTGCTAGGCTTTTAGGGTTTAGGGTAAGCTATGGCTACTATGACTCTTACTACTATATACTCCTGATTTCATGAAGGACTTCCCTAAACCCAGACCCCCAAAGCCTGAACCCCCAAACCCTGAACCCAAAACCCTAAACCCTTATGTGAAAACCCCAAACCCTGAACCCTTATAGGTAAACCCAAAACCCTAAAATTGCGGGGCCGAGGAGCCATTGGGGACTAAGGGGTCAAGTGACCTCAGGGCCAAGAAGCTCACGGGCTTCGAACCTTGATTCGATTGATCGCTCTCGAGTTGGGGATTAGGGTTCGGGGTTCGGGGTTCGGGTTTTGGGTTTCGGGTTTAGGGGTTCGGGGTTTAGGGTTTAGGGTTTAGGGTTTAGGGATTGGGTTCGGGTTTAGAGTTTAGAGTTGAGGCTTGTGGGCTTAGGGGTTCGGGGCTCAAGCCCTGGGCACCAAAAGGCCCCCTCTGCAGCCGACACCCATAGGCCTCAAGCCATCGCCCCATGTTCACCGAAATCCCAATCCTTTAGAGGTTCATGGTACTTAGTAACTAGGGTAAAGGGCTCCTTAAAGGGATCTAAAGGGGTTCTTTAATGGGATCTATAGGGTTTAGGGTTTAGGCTTAGGGTTCATGGCACTTAGTAACTAGGGTTCTACCTAGGGTAACTATACTTATAATTGGTTCTATCCCCAGTTAAGGTACTGATCCTCCAAGTAGACAGTAAACCCGAGCCACGCAACCCCGAAATCTCAAAAGGTCGCAATGGAAGTGCAAACTTGCCTCGAAGGACAGATCTGTAAGGGCCTCACAAGAAAATGCGGAAAGAAATATATCGTGGCAAGGGCCCAAGTAATTTCGGAATACAAGTACCCGGCTGATTGGGTACTTCTCCCACAGCCCGATTAAGCAATCCGTAAACCTTAAACCCTCAACACAAACTCCGGAACCCCAAACCGTGCAACCTGAAGCTACCCCGCACCTCCGGGGTGGCGCAGCACTGGGGCCTTGCTGCCTAGGCCTTGATCGTTGACGACTTCAGATTTCTGAACCGTAAGCAGCTTTTACTAGGCTCTTGGTAAGGAGCTTTGTACAAGTTGCCACAATCGAGACTTATAGTAAATCGCATGGCGTCCATAGCTATTGTCACGCACAAAACACCTGAAAAAGGACCCAGTTTATAGCGCAGTGCTCCCTGAACCCTAAAGCTCATAGTTTAGGGAGGGACCTTCACGGCTCACTGTTCATGAAAGTTTAGGCACCTGGGGGTTTAGGGTTTAGGGTTTAGGGTGGGTTGTCTTTATGAGGAATGAGTACGGATTGGCTGCAATCAAAAGCACGGGTGCGTTTGGGTGGCCATACGGCACTGCAGAAACTATCGGTTCCCAGGGAACCCAAAACGCCTCAAGTAAGGAATCTACCTTAAACTATAGTGGCCTTAACGTTATGATTTGAAGTATCTTCCTTAATGAAGGGGTATTGGGATCTCTGGGATGTTGCGGATTTCATGGAAGGCTGGCTCCTTTTAAATATCGACCACGTGGAAAAACCCTCAACTCCTTGATGCGAACCTTTCCAGGTGGGGGTTGTGGGTTCTTCTTTCTGGGATGTATTTTAAGCTACCATTGTAAAGAAACCCAAGTATTTACTATAGACACCTAGTATGGTAACTTGAATTAAAATCCTTAACAAGAACCTAGCTGAACCCTATAGATCAGCACGTGACAGCATGAACGACATTTTGCCGCGCAACCTGACATCCCTGGCACGAAGCTGCAGGCCAGGCACCGACGTTCTTGAAGGTTTAGGGTTTAGGGTTTAGGGGACTTCTGCCTCTTCCCGGAGACTCCAATATCCCTTAGTTACGGGGGAAAGCTTCTGCAGCAACGGCGCCGCGCAGCAGGGGCGGCCCCTCATCAAACGACGACGAGGTCGACTGATCCATCCTTGGGACATTCCTCAAATCACATAACCCATCCTACCTACAATACTACAATATAAGGTATATATGGTCTATTCCTTAGTTATGGCATATTAGAGTCTGTGGGCCTTGGACCCTGAAATTCTACACCAAACCTAAACCCCAATAGCCCTCCACCCTGAAACATTCAGCATGAAGCCTTTCAAGCCTGAACCCTAAACCCTACTTGGGGGGTCTTTAGGGGACTTAGTAAGGGCTCCTTTAAAGGGGATTCTAAGGGTTCCTTTAAAGGGCTCTATAGGGTTTAGGGTTAAGTTTAGGGTTCAGGGACTTAGTAAGTAGTTAGCAAGTAGACTTACAAGTACCCTAAAAGGGACCCTAATTGGGGTTATGGTACTTCTAAATCCCTAAAATAACCAGTTACTAAGTCCCCCGACCCTCCAAGTAGACCCCCCAAAGAGTTCAACCCTGAGCCCTAAACCCAAAAGCACCCCAAACTGACTCCAAGGTTCCAAGGTGTAAGGAACCAGCACCACACCCGTATTGTTTCCAGTGGCCAATAGGGTCTTTGGGTATACTATATAGTAATAGATACTATATGTCTCTACTACAGAATGCTACAGAACCTCTAATTAGAACAAGGTCTTTGGGTAAACAATACGACAAGTATACCTGCTAGAACCTCCCCCTAAACCCCAAACCCCTTAGTCCGACGATTCCTCAAGTAAACCCTAAACAATTGGGCCGCGGCGTCTCGCCCCGCCCGGTGGACACCTGCTGTCAGAAGGTTCAGAGAGTAGAGTTTAGGATTTGGGGTTTATGAGTTTAGGGGTCTATAGGGGTTGCGGCTCAGGGTTCAGGGTTTAGGGCTTAGGGTTTAGGGGGGCCTGAGTAACTAGAAGAACCGGTTTTAAGGGTTAAGATGATGGGGTTTACGTTCTAGATGTGCTTGGAAGGGTTCTACTACTTGCAATACAGGCGCCTTCCTCATTTGGAATGTAGTACATAGCTGGATTATGATCCAAAATAAGCTCAAACCTCTGTATGAAGCCACGCGCTCCATGATCCCCTCATGAATCAATTTACGATGTTATGCCTTCGTGGTGCCCTAAACCCTAAACCCTAAACCCTATAAGGTCTAGGACCAGGACGACAAGCACACTCATGCACAAGAGGCCCTCTAAGTCTGCTCAGGCATGCCCAGAAGAAAAAAAACTCGCCGAAGATGACACTTAGAGTATGGTTTATATTACTAGTATCCCCATAATAAAACCCAATACATACACTCACCAAAATTCAAAAGGAGCCCTATCTACACTCACCAGAATGGTAATATAAGCCCTACTTCACTTGAATCTTCAGGTTCCCAACACTAACCGGCACACGCCGACCAAGCAGGAGCTTCCATCACAGGTTACTGGCACCAGTTCCCCGCACTTAAAGGTTCATGGTACTTAGCAACTAGGGTTATAAACAAGGTAACTATACCTATAATTGGTTATATCCCCAGTTAAGGTACTTATAACTGTACTTACTAAGTCCCATGAACCTCCAAGCAGGCACACGTCAGGCAACGAGCTGATCCCACAGAAATGCTGCACCAAACGTGCACAATGCCACACCGGTGGCAGCCAAACAAAACCAATCAAGGTTTGAGACAAGGCACTCATGAGACAACTAGAATGGGTGCAGGCCGTAAAGCCATGAAAGCACGGGGTGACTTTCCAATGTTGTACATACTCGAAGCGGGTCTGCACGCCAGCGTCCAACAGCCGTGCACCGTGCTCCACAGCTCCGTCTGGTCGCAAGAATCCACAGCCCTGCAAAGGCCTCCAGGTATTGCAGAGGCACACTTCGTCATCCGCTTGCCGCTCCAGCGTCGGTCATGAATGCCGCTGTCCATGCCCCTCGGAGTCCGGGGACGACTCTATCTGTCGACGCGTCCCCACAATCAGCGGCACGTATTGTACACTATATTCTATATTACATTATGTGTACATACATACGTGTATACATATACATGTACATACATATATATATATATATATATGTATATAGATAGATAGATATACATCCTCTAGGACAACTGACGCCGTGAACAATCAATCCCTACAGAGGACGAAGAGGCACCCGGCCCGCGAAAGGGTTGCTTCACGTGCACATGCTTAAAACTATGGATTGCTCAGAGAACCCAATACTTCTTAACTAAGAAATATACCTTGAATTCTAGGGTGCTTAACAATATGATATAAGGTATCTTCCTTAAATTACCGGGTAATTGGGCTCTCTGGGTGCGGACCGGGGTCTTGGACACTCTCTTATTGGATCCCGAAAATTCGAGAACAGCAGAAAGGCCGAGGATCCTACAATCTAGTAGGTTATGACCGCATACCTACCGGGTATAACTTACAACATGTTTCGAAACGCCAGTTATTGAAAACCACAGATTCCCTCTAAAACCCGAGCCCTAAACCCCCGTAGAACCCTACTGGAACACGTTTTCGGACCCCCTTTAACCCTATAAACCCGTATATAATGTACTACTCTGTGACCCTCGCTAAACCCCAGAACCCTAAACCCGAAACCCCTAAACCGTAAAAACCCTAAACCCCTAAAACCCTAAACCCAGACCCCTGCACCCTAAACGCCAAAATAAACCTAAACCCCCATAGCCTAAGCCCCAAAATGAACCCTAAACGGAGTCTTCAAACGCTTTGAGCCTGCTGAGCCTGCAGGGGATTTCGGGGAATTGCGACGAAGCTGCTGCAGCGCACCTCCCCATCCGCTGTTTGTGGAATTTGGAGGCTTAAGGTATAGGGCTTAGGGTTTAGCGTTTGGGGTTTAAGGCTTAGGGTTTAGGGTTTGGGGTTTAGGGGTTTAGGGGTTGAGGGTTTAGGATTATGGGTTTGGAGCTTGGGTTTAGGGCGGAGGCGAGCGCGAGTCCAATTGATCACATCACCCTTCTGGCAAGGACCCCAAGCAGGACCCCAAACGGCTTTTTTATTGCAATCGGACTTTCGCTGCGCCGTTTGGGGTCAGGGGTCTGGGGTTACCCCGAATGGACAAAACGGGGCAGAGGGCAGGCCATAGGTTGCAGGGATTGGAGTATATGTTTGAGAGGAAAAGCTCAAGGCTTGTAGTAGGGCCCCAAGAAAGCACATAAGCAAAAATAAGGTTAAGGGTATCCCATATAAACCCCTTATAATTTAATGATATAATGAAGGCGAACAAGGTAGGGATATCCCGATAAAATGCTTACGCTTATGTGCTTTTTGGGTCCCTAATGTAGGAGTGTTGGGTTCACGGGGGAACCCTGAACCCTGAGCGTTAAAATTACAAAACTCCCAAACATCCAACGCACAAGCCTCAAGAAAGACTCCGCCACACCATACACCTCAGTATCCGACCCTAGACTCCATGAGCCCTAAACCCTAAAGACCTAATGTATTGGTCTTAATAATTAGAATAGGCTTTCGGGGTGTATTATACTACACTTGTAATACGGAACCCCCCGTAAAATGGCATAGGTACTAGGCCCCTATACCATAAAACCCTACTATAGATCCGTTATAGTAGCAGCCCTTATAAACCCCTGTAAAGGAATCCCCAAAATTGTACCGGTAATCATTTAGGCCCCTAAAAAATCCCTGTAATAGCCATGATGTAGCCCTTATAGACCCCTTTGAAGGAAGCCCCAAAATAATAACTCTTATAGTAGCCGTTCTAGACCCCTTTAAAGGAAATCCCCCAAAATAGCACAAGTAATTCTCTTTGGGCCCCGTCACCGGACTTATAACCCCAATTATAACCTACTTACTGAGTCCCATGATCCTTCAAGTAGTAAACAGCAACTCTCAGTCTCCTTTCCTCGGCGGAGGAGCGAGGGGGAGCAGGTTGCCAGGCCCCTGGCGAGGATTTCGGATTTTGGGGTTTCCTGGGATCTCAGGGTTTAGGGATTAGGGTTTAGGGGTGTGTGTTTAGGGCTGAGGGCTGCCTGAGTAGCCCCTTCATAATAAGGGTACCCTTTTTGCAACTGTTCTGCTTTAACAAGGAGACCCGAAGGTGAAAAAGTCACACAAGGGTACTACTCAGGAAACTAGTTTAGGTTTGGGGCTTAGCCTTTGAGACCGTTCGGGTTTTAGGGTTTAGGTAGGGTCGGTGCTTGTTCAAGAAACTGCAGGACCTTATGTTCCTTTGATAGGCACTAGATGCCGTGTACGATGTCTTGTATATTTTATCTCTTACATATTTACACTATAGTATAATGCACATTATCATGCAATCGCTTTGGAAGGGTGGCTTCACCAACTGGTCAAGTTCTTATCAGGGTATCTTTAAATCTACAACCCTGGTTTGGGATGTAAGGGTTTAGGGTAGGGGTTCAGGGAGGGTTGCGGATTCTGCGGTTTTCGGGTGCAGCATTTCCAAACTTTGTGGTTTTCAGCGTTACGGCTGGCGGACAAACTCCTGAATTGCGAGAGGCTCTAGGACTCTAGGATTTATGAGGGTGCTACAGTCCAAGGGTAAAAGGAGGTACCCTTAATGAGGACCCCTAGGTATATACCGATAATATGGCTATTATATACCCATTATATAGCCCATTATAGGGTAGGGGTGCCCATTAAGGGTCCCTCCTTTTCCCCTTGGATACAGGGTCTGCAACCAATGTCTGTGGCCTAGGGTGGTTTAGCGTCTCGCAACAGAACAGACCCAGAGACTCCAATACCCCTTAATTAAGGAATATTCCTTAAATCATATTAGGGATCCTATTATAATTTAAGGTATATTCCTTAATTAAAGGATATTGGAGTCTCTGGGGAGCTCCAGTTTCACCATGGCCTTAAACCCTGCCCGGTGCAGCCTCTGACCATCAGCGGCGAGCCGGTGACAGCCACATGCCTCTGCCGAGGGTTTAGGGTTTAGGGTTTAGGGTTTAGGGACCACCCTCCCATAATGAGGATAAAACACCCTCCCTTAACGAGGATTCGACTAGGGTTCACAATTTTGGCCTTGGGGCCCTTCACGAAAGTGGTGCTACTGTGTCAGTCTTCAATGCGCAGCGAAAAGCCATAGTAAATTGAACAGGGCTCGGGGCCAGTATTACACTATAGCAAAGCCACAAGGAAGTTATCTGGCCATAATGTTACGAATTGGGCCCTAAACCGTAAGCCCTGATGAGCCTTATTTCGTAAATGGAGTACCCAAACTAGAGTTTATCTCTATTTGAGCCCTGAGCCCGAAACCCTGATTGATTTATTCAGAAACTTTAGTGGAATAAGGTACTACATTCGGATTTCGCACTGACTTCCAGATCCTCCCAAAAGTCTGGATGGCCGAAGCCCTCCGAATCTGCATCCTTGAATGGGCTTTCGGGTTCAGGGTTTAGGGTTTAGGCTTCAGGGTTTAGTGTACTATAAATCCTAGTCCCTGAATACAAAACCCTTGAAACTTAAACCCTAAATCCTAAGCTACAAACTGGTTAGCCTCGCTGTATCTGCGATAGCTAAGTTCCGCACCGACTTCTCACAGGTACCTGGCCGAGGTAAGAAAGCTTACCAGGATTAGGGTTTAGGGTTTACGGATTATAAGATTAGGGATTAGGGCTTAGTTTAAGCGTTAGCTTTAGGGTTTAGGATTACTCGGAATACTGCTGAGGTTTCGCGGTTTAGGCGTTTAGGGCTTGGGGGGTCTAGCTTTTGCGGGTTTAGGGCTTTAGGGAGTTTGGCGTTCACACCTGAGAAAATCTGTAAAGCTGGGGCTCCCCCCTATGATGCCCAGAGATCCCAATACCCCTAAATTAAGGAATATACTTTAAATCATAATATTAAGGCCACTATAATTTAAGGTAGATTCCTCAATTATGGGGTACTAGAATCCCTTTTATAAACCCTAAACCCTATAGATTCCTATAGAACCCTATAGATCCCTTATAGATCCCTTTAAGGAACCCTAAGGTACATTCCTTAATTCAGGGGCCCCTTGGGTTCTCTGGGTGAACTGAATTGGGAATTGGAGGCGCCTGGCTGATTGAACTGAGGTTTTGGTGGGGGTCCATCGGGCGAAAACACGACCCTAAAACCTAAACACTAAGTATGAAACCCTTAAGCTCTAAATAAGACCTAAGGATTAAACCGTTAAGCTCTAAATAAACCCTAAGTATGAAACCCTTAAGCTCTAAATGAGCCCTAAGGATTAATCCGTTAAGCTCTAAATAAACCCTAAGGATTAAACCCTTAAGCTCTAAATAAACCCTAAGGATTAAACCCTTAAGCTCTAAATAAACCCTAAGTATGAAACCCTTAAGCTCTACATGAGCCCTAAGGATTAATCCGTTAAGCTCTAAATAAACCCTAAGGATTAAACCCTTAAGCTCTAGAGTTCAGCAGTTCAGAATTGGTGGTGTCGGGCTTAGATCTTATATACTCAAGCCGAGAGTATCACTTCGTGCACTCTAAATAAACCCTAAGGATTAAACCCTTAAGCTCTAAATAAACCCTAAGTATGAAACCCTTAAGCTCTAAATTCACTAAAGCTGAGTGAAACAAGAAGGGTATTGCGAATTATTTCGGCCAGACCAGGCTCCGAGGTAGCTAGAAGGAGAAGTGTATACTTAGAGGCTCATGGTACTTAGTAATTAGGGTTCCTTTAAGGGCTCCTTAAGGGGATCTATAGGGTTCCTGAAAAGGGATCTATGGGGTTTAGGGTTTAGGGTCTACTTAGAGGTTCATGGTACTTAGTAACTAGGGTTATACATAAGGTAACTATGCTTATAATTGGTTATATCCCCAGTTAAGGTACGTATAACTGTACTTACTAAGTCCCATCAACCTCCAAGTATAAGGATCGTACAGGGGCTTGGTCGACGTTTCGACGGCTTTACCCCGGCTAGTTCTAGCTCGAGTTGGAAGTGCATTGGTTGGAATTAAAAGCTGTACTTTTCGTAATTATTACCAGTAACCAAGTCCTCTAACCCTTCAAGCAAGACGATGTAGTGTAGCACGAGAGCGATGAGTAAACAGTGCAGCATAGCTTTTGAGTTTAGGCTTAGGTGGCAGATGTGTGGAGCAGGGGAATCAGCATCTTTCCACATAAGACCGGCCCCTGGGCTACCCCTGACGTATATGCAATTATTAATGGAATGGAGTTTTGCGGTGTTTATACTATATGTATATGATATGTTTTATGGGAAATCCAAGGAATAGTATCTTTGTTGTGCCCCTTTTCTTCTCAGCGTGCGAGGGCTCTGCTGTCGCGTTCAAGGCTTTCCCTGACCCACACGGGGTGGCATCAGGCACCAATACTCGAAGCGGCGCAACGTACCTTCTAGAGGGAGTACCCTCACTCCACCAATCTGAAGCCCTCATACCGAAGAGTCCGCCTTAGAATATGGCATAAAGACTAGCTTAGAATAGAACAGAGAATAATATGAATAAGATGAAATATAACCTTGCGAAATTCAACATAACACGACATAAGACAATGCAACATCATACAAAAGCTTATACTACAATACGATATGATAGAACAAAACGCAACGACATGTAATCTTGAAGCATCTCAATAACATCATATAACTTTGTATAAGATCATAAAATATCCTATACTATACAGGTTGGCGAGGGCTAGGACTCGAACGCGCGTGCGCCCAAGGCTCCCTCCCGGGCGCGGCTCAGGAGACCCAAGGACCGGATCGGCGCTGCGACCGCCGAGGCCTTCAGCTTCGGGTAGCATGATGAGGGAGACCCCTTACAGTAGAAGCCAGAAAGTTGGAATGTCATTCTCGTAACCCCTTTAAGGTAAATTATAGGGGATCCTACCAGTAATCCATATTCCAACCTTCTGGAGTTCCCTTTAATTGTAAGGTATAGGGGCCTTCATACTATGATTTAAGGTATATTCCTTAATTGAGGGGTATTGGGATCGGCGCTGCGATTGCTGAGGCCTTCAGCTTCGCGTGGGGGGTTGAGGCTCCTTTCAAGGGATCCCTTTAAGATTTCCTGAAAGGGGGATCTATGAGGGTTCTGTAAAGGGTTTAGGGTTTGAGGACAGCTTTGTCCAGAGATCCCAATACCCCTTGATTAAGGAATGTGCCTTCAATCATAGTATGAAAGCCCCTATAACTTATGGTATATTCCTTAATTAAGGGATTTTGGGAGCTCTGAGTGGGTAGCATGATGAGGGAGACCCCTTAAAAGGTACCCCTTCCGAACCCTACTTCTGGCTCTCTTACAAGGGACCCTATTGAGAGGGTCAATGTCCTCGAGGGTCCCCCTAATCCTGACTCCCAGGCTTTGCGTGGGGGAAGAACCCTCTTAGAGCCCTGGTGAGACCCTTACCCAGAGAACCCAATACCCCTTAATTAAGGAATACACCTTAAATCATAATATGAAGGCCCCTATTATTCAAGGTATATTCCTTAATTAAAGGGTATTGGGTTCTCTGGGTATAGATTTCTTGAAAGGAACCCTAGACACTCCTCATAGAGCATTTGAAGATATCCTCACACAATTTTGGGTTTGGGGTGTAGGGCCGTTTAGGGTTTAAGGTCTTAGGGTTTGCAGTTTTAAGGTTTAGTGTTTAGGGTTCAAAGCTTAAGATTTACGGTTTAGTGTTTAGGGTTTGGGGGGCCGGACATGTAGGTGGTGTTGGGTTGAAGTTTTAAGGATTCGAGATCAAGAGTTGGGTTTAGGTTTTAGGTAGGGTCTCCGTCAGAGGCTCCATGATTGGCCCAGAGATCCCAATGCCCCTTAATTAAGGAATATACCTTGAATTATAATAGAGGCCTTAATATTATGATTTACCGAATAATGGCGGATTGGGATCTCTGGGGGATTGAAGGGACCATGTCCCTCAGCTGAGGATTTACGTTTTGCAAACTCTAAACCCTAAACCGTAAACTTGTTCGGCAGACGAAGACTTCGGTTTCACGCTGAACCTCAAGAACGCAATGGTTCTAATGGCGGGTTTAGGGTTAAGGGTTAGGAGCTATGATAGGGTTTGGTGGGATGCGTTGTACTATGATATAACATGTGGAGCCCTCAGGAAGATTGTCTCCAAGGGTAACAGGAGGGACCCTTAACAAGGACCCCTAGGTGTATACCCTTAACATAGCCATTATATACCCATTATACAGCCCATTATAGGGTAGGGGTCCCCATTAAGGGTCCCTCCTTTCCCCCTTTGACTTGAGAACCCTTAACCCTAAACCCTAAACCCTTGAACCCTAAACCCGCCATTAAGGGTCTTCGACTTTGACTTGAGATTCCCAACCCCAAACGCTAAACCCCTTTGATTATCATCACCAACTACTCAAACCTCTACTTAAAGGCTCATGGGACGTAGTAAGTAAGGTTATAAGTAGGTTATAATTAGGATAACCCCACTTAGGGGACTTATAACCCCAATTATGACCTACTTACTAAAGTCCCATGATCCTCTAAGTTGCCTAAACTACCCCTTATAGAATCCCTACATAGATCCCTTAAAGGAGCTCTTTAAAGAAGCCTACTTACTAAGTCCCATGATCCTTCAAGTATGTTTGAGTCATGTCGAGCTTCGCCGGGAGTCGGGGCCGCAATGATCAGGAAGACTATTCCCTTATATGGGAGTTTCCGAAAATTAGCGGTACCTCATTTTGGGGTCCTTATAATACGGATCCTACTATTTAAATTTAGGGTGCTATATTCGGCTATATTCGGGCTCCTATTTTCGGAAACCCCCATATAGTGTTCTGATAGTTCTAGTAAATTAAAGCCCAGACTCCCTTCTAGCCCTCTTATAGTTATAGCGAATTCGATCCCAAGCCCCGATTCTACCGGTTAAGGCCCCCTCTTACGTGGCCGCGTGAGTCCCAAGGTGCCAGGGTCGTTTGAAGGCTTCTCGAGGAGTACGCTATAGTGTCCAGGGTTTGAAGAGGTTTACATAGGGGGTTTGGCTTTTGTTGATGAACTCCTTCATCCGACAGGGTCGGCTTGCGAAATGTTCATAGACTTTGGGGTTTAGGGTTTAGGGTTTAGGGTTTCGGGGCTTAGGGATTTGGGGGTCGCAGTCATGAGCATCCAAAAACATCATCGAACACGCTCTTCCTCCTGCCCCTCTCCTCAACATCATGCCCATACTCCAAGGCATGCAGGGTTTGAGGTGATCACACGGTTGCGAATTGCGAGCTACAGTACTACAAGGCAGGAAAAGAAGCAGCAACACCCTAGACCCTAAAAGCCCTAAACCCCCTAAAGCCTAAACCATAAACTACTTGAGCTTTCGCGGAATGCATCCCTGTCCCTGTTGGTTGCAGCTGAGATACCCGGACGGCCGCATCGTAGGTGACAGCATTTCCCTGTAGTTGCCTCTTCTCCATCGCAGACAGCAGCTTCAGAACGTGGCGCCATTGGTTGCCTAGGATTCCAACACTGGGTGAAGAGAGTCGAACATAAGGGTTCGGGGAGTATTTTGATATGCCTAGAAAATAGAAAGTGAATGGTGCTGCAAACTGCTGCGGCCCCTTTAGTGAGGCCTTCGGCTGTGTAGAGGACGATGCAAGGACGGCCGATGTGCATCAATGACAATAGTCTAGCCACAGCCACGTTATCTCCCTGCCGCGCCCTGGCAAGCTTCTTCCTTCGAGCAGGGACCCTCACATACTGTCGTCGTCGCATGGTCGTCGTACGATCGTCATTGTCGTCCTGGTCGTCTTTTTCCCTCGTTGTGGTCCTCGTCCTTGTCGTCCTCTTCGACGAGTCCTCTACTCAATACAGAGCAACCGCCAGTATGAGTAGCTATCTTGGACAGCCACCACTGCTGCTCTCCATGGACATGACACGGACAATCGTTAGCAGCACAAACAAGTGCCCCTTCTGAACTACCTGAGTAGCCAGGACTCGAAACCCGAAACCCTATACACCCCAAACCCTAAACCTCAAACCAAGCACATACCGCCGCAGAAGGCCAGAAACTCGATAGATAATCCATGCTGCCTTCAGCACAGACTCGCAAGAGCCCGTTGTAGGTCAGCAAATCGCCTGGCATCAGTTTCTTACTCCCTAAACCTCTCGTTTGAGGACACGACTTCAAGGTTTTGGGGTTAGGGTTTAGGGGTTTGATATACCCCCAAACTCTATTCTAATTATTAACGCCCTATAGTAGGGCTTCGGCTTAGGATTTCCGGCAGACAAGGTCTTGTATGCCGCCATGTGGTCAAAGGAGACGAAGGTCAAAGGGGAAAAGGAGGGACCCTTAATGGATAATGGGCTCTATAATGGGTATATAATAAAATAGCTATATTAAGGGTATATACCTAGGGGTCCTTATAAGGGGTCCCTCCTTGCACCCTTGGAGAAGGAAAGGACATCCGCCATCTTCAGTCTGACGCTGGGCTGGGAGGGGTTGTTCACATCGAGCTTCGAACAATCAAAGGGGAAAAGGAGGGACCCTTAATGGGGACCCCTACCCTATAATGGGCTATATAATGGGTATATAATAGCCATATTAAGGGTATATACCTAGGGATCCTTATTAAGCGTCCCTCCTTTTCCCCTTTGAAACAAGGGCCAAGCTGAAAGAACCTGCAGAGCGCTGGACATGAATCTCCATCCCAAAGCTTTGGGACGTAAACTGTAGAAAACCCTAAATCCTAAACTCTACATCTCGGCTTCAAGATGAAATGAGCGGCTGGCAGACTGAGAAGCTAAATCCTCTAAATGCCATGAGCTCTCACCTCTCTCTCTGAGGATCCTTCGTAGAAAAAGGGTTTAGGGTTCACGGGATGTCTTCAAAGGTGTTACAGTCCGACAGCCGAAAACCTCAAAACCATTAGGAACTTCCCCGGCCCACAGACCAGCACGACATGTGCGGCCTTGCAAGCGTTGGAGCATCAAGCTTTTGAAGAGGGCGAGTGCATCTCGCCACCGTCCTGCGACAGCAGGTTTGCAGACGCAAGCCCTAAATCTTTATCCATAGACCCGAACAGCTGAAAGACTAAGTCTCATCACATCACCCAACCCTAAACCCTAAACCCTAAGCCCCAATATCAAGCAAGCTTAATATGCAGCCTGCCACTGAAGCCTCAGCTTTTTTAGGGTGCAGCAATACTGCTGACAGCACAGTCCTCCCTTATCCAAAATCGGGGAAAAACCTTTATGAAGAATTTTGCAAGCCTCTCAAAACTTGATCGAAACAATGAATCACTGGCCTATATCGGCCCTATAGGAAAGCTTGAGATCAATAAACCCCCCAACTTTGAGGCTAGGGTTTAGGGCGCCGGCTTTGGATTCCTAGTATAGTCGGCATGATGCGCGGGTGCTGTTCTAATCAATTCTCTACATTGACATGATGTAGAGCCCCATAAGGACAAAAACTACCGCATCATACTCGGGATCGCAATGCTAAGGCTCTCATGGAACCCTAAACCCTAAACCCCGAAACCCCTAAACCCTAAACCCTCGGTGTATTATCCAGGCGTCTACATGGTCCCCGCTTTACTTCTGCGGGGTGCTGAAGCCTCTTGGGAGCGTTCTGGGTCCAACCTCTGCGCCCTTCCAGGGGATATCCGAAATCCTGCTTGAAGGATCATGGGACTTAGTAAGTAGGCTATAATTGGGGTTACAAGTCCCCTAAGTGGGGTTATCCTAATTTCTTACCTACTTCTTACCTTACTTACTAAGTCGCATGAGCCTTTAAGTACATCCGAAGCCCTTATTCAGGCCTGGCTTCTCGCAGGCCAAGATCGCGGAATTGAAAGAAATGAGGTCACATTCGACCTGAACCGAAAAAGTGCTCGGCGGTTTGAATTGGAGTTTTTTTGTATGTTTTGAAGTTTAGGGGTTGAAGATTTCATGCTTGCCCTCTCCAGATCCGAACATAGACTCGTTCGCAGACTGCTACGGCCTCTTTCGCGATGGATCTACTTCGTTGGTTTCGGAAAGTGTAGTACCTGGAGATTTTTCTTGAATGTTTCCTCGTTGCATGCTGGAGGGATCCTTAAAGGACATTTTCGGTTGCGGAATCGAACCTGTTAGATCTTCATTACCCAGGAACTGTTGCAGGAAACCTCTGAGCTCTCAAGACCACTCCATCAGTGCTTTGGGCTTGGGGTTTAGGCCTTAACTCGCGCACCCTAGGCCTTGGATCCTAAACCTCGAACCCCCACGCCGCACAGCTTGAATCCTACACCCTGGACCCAGACCGTAGTCACAATGGAGCCGAAAACCTGCGTGTAAAACTCTTACAAGACACCTACATCTACTTGTAGGGTATCATGGGGAGCTGAAGGTTAACCTTTCTGGTTATATAGGCATTATATAGCGAGTATACTATCCAAAAAAGGGTTAAAGGTTACCTACTCTACTACTAGGTACAAATGCTTGCAAAAAGCCTTACAAACCCCTTTCAAAACCGTTCGAGCAGCATCACAACACCCTTATAGACCAAAAACACACTGTTCAACCCCCAAAACCTTGCAGAGCCCTTTTATCACCCTAAGTCCACTGAAAACCATACAAAACCCCAAAAGCCCTGGACCCCATACCATACCCAAAGAACCCAATACCCCTTAATTAAGGAATTCACCTTAAATGATAGGGGCCTTTAGACTATGATCCAAGGCATATTCCTTAATTGAGGGGCATTGGGGTCTCTGGGTACCGAAAACCCTAAACTCCAACGACCGGGGCCCCGTCTTCCTTCGCACCACACTCCGCCAGCAAGCTCAGCGCGAGACTCCACCTTGCGAGCCGCTCGCGTTTCGCGAGGCTTCTGTAAGGATTTAGGGTTTGGGCTGTTACGGTTAGAGATTTGTTTAGGGCTTAAGGGCTCCAAGTTCAGGAGGTTGATAGGTCAAACCGGGATTCGGGTGCATTACTAGTCGCTCGAACAAGCCTTACAAACCCCTTGCAACCCTAAGCGTTATGAACACCTGACAAAACCCTCTGAGGACCAGTCCACAATCTTATCATCTGTGCAGAACCCACCCCGGAAAAGAACTTAATAAACCTATCTAAAACCTGGTATCCTTGGCCCTGAACCCCAAAAGCGCCTTTTTTAGCAAGCGGGTGGAAAGTCCTGACCACCGAACTGGGAACTTCCGAAAATTAGGGGTACCTTATTTGGGGGTCCTTATAATAAGGATCCTACTATCTAGGGTACTATATTAGGGTCCCCATTGTCGGAAACATTTATAAAGTTTAGGGTTTACTGTCCGGGTTCATTGGGGTTATAGGCACGTATAAGTATAGTTACCTTAACTACAACCCTAGTTACTAAGTCCCATAACCCTTTACAGTAGAAGCCAGAAAGTTGGAATAACATTATCGTAACCCCTTTAAGGTAAATTATAGGGGATCCTACCCTTAATCCATATTCCAACTTTCTGGAGTTCCCTTTAAGTACTACTGGTCTCGGGGATTGGAATGCTCTTGGAGCGCTCTTGGCATGCTGTTGGCTCTTGGACCGCTTTGGGCACCGGCCGCCCGGCCTTTTCCAGCGCCGGTCCGCAGAGCAGGTTAAGGGTTTTAGGGTTCAGGGTTTAGGGGTTTAGGGTTTAGGGTTTGGGGTTTAGGGGTTTAGGGGTTTAGGGGTTTAGGGTTTAGGGATTTAGGGTTTAGGGATTTAGGGTTTAGGGTTTGGGGTTTAGGGTTTAGAGTATCCTTCTTTACCTGGTGGGGTGCATGAGTCCGCCTGCCAAGCGGGCACTTCATGGCCCGCTTCTCTGCCCTCGACCGTACACATGATGACAAAGTGTCTAAAGTTACTGTTGATGATATAAATCCTGCATTACCCATACTCAGGAATATACCATATTTTCCATAGTTTAGGGTCCTTAAGGTAATTCAGGATTTATATCATCAACCGTAGTACTGTACTAGCCTCAAGGTTCCAGATCATGCACGAAGATCTGCACGATTCACAAAATTTCTGCGCATTGCTGCTCAACGGCTAGGAGGTACCACATGATAATATACCTGAAAGACTGTAGCATATTATAACATACTGTAAGTCTCAATGGCTGTTGTTTCTATGCTGTTGAGGTCGCTCAGACTACTCATCCCCGAACCCTGAGCCTCAACAATGACAACCAAAAACAAAACCCTAAACCCCAAAAGCTTACGTCCTGAACCCCCAAAGACCCGAACCCCAAGCCCTAGACCCTTAACGGCTTTAGGGTTTATAGGGGTTTAAGGATTCGCGCCGCACCATGAACCCTGTTTGCAGTGACGGGTCCAAAGTCAAGCGAAGCCGCTGCCCGGCCATCTGGCAAGCGAAAATCGCCGTGTTGAAGGAGATCACCTGCCCCGCCGCGAGTTGAAGGGTTTAGGGTCTTAAGGTTTTAGATTTTGTTTGATCGCCTTTTTCCGTCTGCGAAGATGTCGGGGCATTCGGAAGCCCATTAAAGACAGGCTGGCTTTAGGGTTTAGGCTTGAGGCATGTTTACTTAACGGCCCAGCGAGCTTGGTAAGATATTATTGGACTTACAAATATCCCAACTAGGGTTGACCTACTTATCCCCCGAAGTTACCTTCTTTCTTGGTTTAAGGCTCCGGGGTTCAGGGGGTGAGGACTCAGAGTTTGGAGTGTTTTGGAGCTGCGGGGCGCCGGGGCAAAGATTAGAGCTCGGATGTGGGGTCTCAGTTTAGAGGTTTAGGGTTTTGGGGGTTCAGGGTTTAGGGTCAAGTCGCCGGAGCCAAAGAAACGTCCCCTGTGTATTACACTATAACTCAATAGACAGGAACCTTCAGGAACGATATTCGCAACTGTTCAAGCCCCCTTTAATACCCCAACCACTGCTTCGCGAAAGGAGTCCCCAGAATCCGGCGTCCCTTTGATGTATTACTTAGACGGGGCCCCCCACCTTGTAACAGTGACTATGGATTATATTAGGGCCCTATTATATTCCTACTATACCACTATTACAGGGTGGGGGCCCTTCTAATGTATTACCTTCTCAGCAACCTTTAGAAGACACCGGCATCCCATAAGGCTTGCGACACCCCACCCCCCTGCAAAAACAAGAAGGCACATCCCGGCTTCCCTAAACCCCACCCCAAAGCGTAAGCCTTCAAAGCAGACAGGACCCTCGTCCCAAAACCCCAAAAGAAGAAAGGACCGTGAACCCTAAACCCTGAAAGAAGACAGGACCCTGAACCCAAAACCCAAAAAGAAGACAGAACCCTAAACCCAAAAAGAATAAAGGACCCTGAGCCCTACACCCTAAAAGAAGACAGGACCCTAAACCCGAAACCCAAAAAGAGGAAAACCCACTGAATGCCAGGAGAGCTACGTCGGGCTGGAGGAGTTCTGCTTCCATGGATCCGAACAACGCCAAAGCTTTCGGCCAACGACTGGCCTGAACAGCGGGCTCAGGGTTCAGGGCTCTTAGGGCTTAGGGCTTAGGGGCTTAGGGTTCAGGGCTCAGGGTTCAGGGCTTAGGGCTTAGGGCTTAGGGTTCAGGGCTCAGGGTTTAGGGCTCTTAGGGCTTAGGGCTTAGGGCTTACGGCTTAGGGTTTGGGGTTTAGGGTTTAGGGCTTAGGGTTTAGGGCTTAGGGCGTAGGGTTTAGGGTTTAGGGTTCAGGGCTCAGGGTTTAGGGCTTAGGGTTTAGGGTTTAGGGCGTAGGGTTTGGGGTTTAGGGCCTTAGGGTTTAGGGTTGGGGTTTAGGGTTTAGGGTTTGGGGTTTAGGGCTTAGGGTTCAGGGCTCAGGGTTTAGGGCTTACCTGGGGATCCAAAAACCTACTGTTTTCAGGGTTAGACCCTACAGTTCAGGGGTCATAGCCTACTATTCTGTAGGGTTTGGGGTCACAGCTAGGGTTTAGGCTCTTTAGAGCGTAGGCTTAGTCTTCTATTATAGCCTACTGGGTTTGGGTTCACAGCTGGGGTTTAAGCTCTTTAGGGCGTAGGCTTAGTCTTCTATTTTAGTTGGGGGTTGGGGCGCGAAGAGCTAAATCCCCTCTATGCGTCCCCGAGCTACTTCCAGAAACATGAAGCTGCAAACCCAAATTCAATTCTGGAGTATAACTGGGTTGTAGTTTTGGGGCTCTGAAAAATGTTTATGAATAGGTACCTCTATAGGAACCATAAGGGAAATTAAAAAGTTTCCCAAATTGCCACCTAGATAACCCTTAAGCCTAAGCACATCAATAACAACACAAAAGAGGCCTCCGCGCATGCGCTGATGGCTGCGTTGAAGGCAGGGACGTTTGGCCGCATCTTTGGCGCAAAGAGCAACGCAAGAGCTCTTTCCCACTGCCGGCCTCTTCTACTTGGAGGTTCATGGGTAGTTATAAGTTGGCTTTTTGTCCCCAAATCTGTCTTGGAATTATAGCTACCCTACTTATACGTAATAGCCCCGTTATCCATGGTTCTTTTGTTTGGGACTGTTTCAGGATCGAGGCCCCTTTCTGACTATAGGTAGGGTTTTGCCGCAGTTCAAAATGGGAGTTTCCGAAAATTGGGAGTACTTTATTTGGGGGTCCTTACAATAAGTATCCTACTATTCAGGGTGCTATATTAGGGTCCCCTATTTTCGGAAACTCCTAAATACCTTTAATCCAAGCACGAAGACCCCAGAGGCCACAAAAGGCGACACGCCAGACCCGGCACCCTAAGCCGCACATCCCCAGATTCCAATCCTAACATCTTCAGCTCTACCACACGATTTGGTGGGTTGTGGGGGTACTTGCTGCTGGCTAAACCCTAGACCCTACAAGCACGGGAATAAGTTCAGCTAGGCATCCCGACCCCTCTATTCGACGTACTTTTTCAGCCGGCCTCCGTCGCTTAGGGTCTGGGGTTTCCGGCGTCTTGCTTGTGTGTTTTTGTCGTCTTAAGGGCTTTCAGATGGTGACACGACGAGACATGTGTTGGCCTCGGTACGGTTTGGGATTTAGGAATCTGGGGCGGCATGGGGTTTGAGGACTAAGGTGCTGGCCTTCCGTCTTCGGTAAAGGTATGTTGGGTACTTGGAGGTTCATGGGTAGTTATAAGTAGGGTTATAAGTCCCCTAACATGGGTTATAAGCACAGTTACCCTACTTCTAACTCTAATTATAACTACCCATGAACTTCCCAGCAGTGTCGACGGACAGGAGATGGGATGCGTTCAGAAGTTCAGGTTCAAGGAGAGTACAGTAGCATGCATATACCACTGCTAATTGATATGTGTTATGACCGGCATCTTTTTTTACACGACTACGATGATTGCCGTGATTTTCATGAGCATCATGACTATAACGATGATTATGATCATTAGCGGTAACTTTGGAGGGCCTCTAATGACTACAACCGGCTACGTTCCAGTACTATTGCTGAATAACAGATACTCACAATCAGACGTAGTTATGAGTAATTCGTCTTGGCAGTAACTAACTGACTGACTGACTAACTATGTTTGATTGTATCTTTGTCTGTTTCAATTCATTAGATTTTGCTGCCATCATTGTCATTGTTGTCATCAGTACTTGTCTTGTCGATTGAATTACCGGTATCACTGTCCAGATTCTGATTGATATTGCTGTTGCTACGATGAATGCTTGTATTATCATCAGCTACAGTCCTCTTTGTCGTAGTAGTAGTAGTAGTAGTAGCAGCAGGAGCAGCAGCAGCAGTAGCAGTAGCAGAGCAGTAGCAGTGGCAGTAGGTAGCCGCAGCAGTACAAGTAGCAGTAGCAGCAGCAGCAGCAGTAGCAGAGCAGCAGCAGCAGCAGTAGCAGAGCAGTAGCAGTGGCATTAGGTAGCCGCAGCAGCAGCAGCAGCAGCAAGAGGAGTAGTAGTAGTAGTAGTAGTAGTAGTAGCAGTAGCAGTAGCAGTAGCAGTAGCAGTAGCAGTAGCAGTAGGAGTAGTAGTAGTAGTAGTAGTAGTAGTAGTGGTGGTAGTGGTAGTGGTAGTGGTAGTGGTAGTGGTAGTGGTAGTGGTAGTGGTAGTGGTAGTGGTAGCAGCAGCAGCAGCAGCAGTAGTAGTAGCAGCTGTACTGGTAGTAGTAATGAAATGAGTATTTGTCTTATGCCTTCTTATTGTAACTAATTAAGATGATGGTTTATCGTTAATCACTGGTCACATCAAAGAATCGCCCCGCGCCGAGCCTTTCTCGCAGGCAGAGATGACCGCACTGCAGGCAACCGCCTTGCTTCAACGGTGTAGGGGTTTAGGGTTTAGGGTTAGGGTACTACGGTTGATGATGAATATGCTCATGGGGGGATAACTGCGCCTACTATTTGGCTTGGTAGTGCCACTGCTGGGGCAACGGGGGGGTGGGGGGTTAATAACGTTCTTTGTTTAACGTTCTTTGTATCGGCCTTGTTTCAATATATGCTTTGCTACATACTTTGCTAGTCCGTCATATTCCTCTTCTCATGGATGCATGCTGCTGCCTTCTGCTGCATGCTCTTTGCATGGAGATGGTGCTGCTGCTTGATGTTTGACACAAAAACGCATCGGATCAACTTCGTCAGATGTGCCCATCACAGTTAACTGCATCGGATCAACTTGCTCAAATGAGAAATAGTCATCCCAGCTGAATGGAATGTATCACTCTTCGAATCCAAGTACAAATTTGGGCAACCTTTCTACTGGTTGACAACAACTCTTCCATAAACCTGCCCAAAAACTCATCGGATCAACTTCGTCAGATGTGCCTATCGCAGTTAGTTAACTGCCGTCCCATGTTGAACCCTGTTTCGTGTGACAGGCGTGGCACTTTATGTTTCCTACTGATACTTGCTTACCGCATCCAAGCCTCGAAAGGCCGACAGAGCGACTAGCGTTGCCCAAACTCGAGTTTTAAGCACTTCCCAACTGTAAAAAGAAAAAACATGGGGTTAACTTTTACAAACCGAATGCTTGTTTCACGTGGCAGGCGCGATAGATTCCAACTTCATGCGTCCTTACATAGGCGCAATAATCCCCCCATGGGGATGAATATCCTGCATTACCTTAAGGACCCGAAACTATGGGAATTATGGTATATTCCTTATTCTGGGTAATGCAGGATTTATATCATCAACAGTACTACTACTAGACTACTACTAGACGACTACTCCTCCTCCTCCTCCTCCTCCTCCTCCTCCTCCTACTACTACTACTACTACTACTACTACTACTTGGTCAAAACCTTCGGCCGGGAAGCGTCCGGCGGCTTGCGAGCCTCGTGCAGCAGCCTCGATGAACACGGTTTCGGGTTTTAGGGTCTGGGGGATTAGGGGGGTTTTGGGTTTTTGGGCTCTAGGGATTTAAGGGGGTTTAGGGTCTAGGGTTTCAGAGTTTAAGGGGGCTTAGGGTTAAGGGGGGTCTAGGGTATAGGGTTTAGGGTTTAGGGTTTTAGGGTTTTAGGGTCGTGGGTTTCGGGTCTAGGGTTTGCAGGGTGTAAGGTTCGCTGGACTCGAATGTACACCCCCCACACTGTCCATCTGCCATGTGCAAGAGCCGTGCAGGGCCGCCGCTGCCCCCAAAACTCGACACGCCTAAAGTTCCCGCAGCTGAAGATGTGGGCATGAGTGTATAGGTGCATGTAAGCATGTGTACGAATATGTACATGTGTAGGCATACATGCGTGCATGCACGCAGGCAGGTTGCGCTAGCTGTTTAGCGTTTAGGGTTCCTTTGAGGGTTTATAGGGTCTAGGGTTCCTTTAGGAGTTTAGGGTTCAGGGTTGCTTCATTTATGTGGCTTCAATTGTTAGAAGAGTGGTTTGCGGTATATTGTAGGGTACTTCTATCAGGCACTATTCGGGTATGGAATCACAAGTTCTTCCGATCCCGATATTACCACCCTTTCTGCCACCTAGTCTACTCTATTCCGGCATTACCAGGTTACCACATACGTCGCTAAGAGACGGCTAGCAGCCCACGATTGAAGAAGTTTCCTCATCTCAAAGGAAGACGGCCTAACATATACTAAGGCTTCATCCTTAGGCCTTTCCCTGAATCCTAAACCTCACAAACCCTTAGTTTCAGCTAAAGGCAGGCCAGCCGCCCATAGACTTGAACTGCCAGCTGCCATCGCCCTGGGTGGTCGCAGGCACAAACGGCAGAGTTGAAGGTGATGCTGTCGGCATCCTCGGGAAAGGAATAAAGGCCTCTGGGGCCCAGGGCTCCAGGGGTCTACTTGCGGGGTCGGGGGGACTTAGTAGGTAGTTGGTAAGTAGACTTATTTATAAGTACCCTAAAAGGGACCCTAATTGGGGTAATGGTACTTATAAGTCCCTAAAATAACCAGTTACTCAGTCCCCCGACCCTCCAAGCAGGGGTTTAGGGCTTGGGGGTCTAGAGGTTTAGGGCTTGGGGCTTGGGGTTGAGAGTTTGGGGCTAGGGTGTATGGGGCGCCTAATCCGGAAAACCCTGAACGCGGCAAAACCCTGTAACCCCTACAAACACCCGGAAACACCCCCAAAACCTGATTGAACCCATTATCAACCCATTAGAACCACTCTAAAACCCTCAAAAGATTACAAAAAAAATTGATTGAAACCCATATACGAACCTAAACCCCAAACTCTACACTCTAAACCCTTAACCCTAAAGCCCTAAACGCTAAACCCCAAAATCCGAAGCTCTCTGCATCTCAGGGTCTTCGCGATCGCGAAGATCTGACCAGACGCGGAGAGCTTTGGTCCAGGAAGAGCCTGCAGGGAGCGGTGAGCTTAGGGCATACCTTAACCCCACTTAAAGGCTCATGGGACAGGGTTCCTTAAAGGGATCCTTAAAGGGTTTAGGGTTTAGGGATCTATAATATAAGGGTTCTATAAGGGGTAGTTTAGGCTACTTGAAGGATCATGGGACTTAGTAAGTAGGTTATAATTGGGGTTATAAGTCCCCTAAGTGGGGTTATCCCAATTATAACCTACTTCTAACCAAACTTGCTAGGTCCCATGAGCCTTTAAGCAAGTAACCTACCTTTTTTCGGCAAAAGGTAGGTTCCTTAGGGTCCAGGTAGGGCATAGAGATAGAGTTCTAGGGTTTATATAGGGTTGAAGGCTCGGAGTTCGGGTTCAGGCCTTAGGGAGAGGGTTTAGGGTTTAGGGCTTCAGGGTCTTAGAGTTTGGGGGCTTAGGATGGGGGCTTTGCAGCGTTCAGGGCTTTGGAGTCAGGGTCCTAAACGGGTCTCTTTGCCTTGAGGGCTTGAAGAAAGGACTTTGCAAGGATTCGATACGGGTCTAGCGGTCTGAGGCTTAGGGTTTACTTGCGCAGCCCAGGGTCGGCCCTCAAGGCTTCATGACAAGGGGGGTGTTGGAATAAAGAGCCTTCTGACAAGGGTTCTATAAGCTTCTTGCTACAAGATTCCTGAAGCGTCGATATGGAAAGGCTGGAAAGGTTTAACCAGGGGCTTCTATAGGTTTCTTATTATGGGGTATCACAGCCCTAAGCATCTAGTTAAAGCTACAAGAGGATAGGCTTCGTCCGGGCTTTGTAGGCAGGACGTCAGAGCTTAGGATTGCTGATACAGTTCAGAGATCGGGTCTGAATAGCTGAACTAGGATTTACGGCTTTATCGTTCGGTTTTTGACCCTACATGAGACCTAAGCCCTAAACCCAGCCCTACCCTAAGGCCCCATAGTAATTCCCTTTTGGGTTTACCTTATAGGATTCTAAATATGAACCAAAAAAAGGAACCACTTTGGAGCCTTAGGGTAGAGCCCTGAACCCTGAACTCGGCTCCGGTCCTCTCTCATAGGCGCTGACCAGGGCATTGTACCCCACCACGCTGCCTGCAACAAATCCCTTTGTGGGCAGTACATTATAGGGTCGGTGGAGAGCTGAAAAAGGCACGAACTGATGAGAGGACCATACAGGAACACAAAAAAGCACATCGGGTTGGTGATTCTTACAACGATCTGTTGGCGGTTCTGTAAGGATGCTAGAATGATTTTGGGGATTTCAGCATCAGAATAGGGTTTGGGAGATACTGATTACCGTAGAGCTGTCTGTATGAGACTCATACAGAACCTCAAAAGCTATGCCATAGAAATCAAATAACACGTAAACCCCAGTCCATATACCTAAACCGCAAGCCCTTACTTGATGCTCTCCGGACGAGGCACATGCACCGGCTGACAACAAGGCCGCGGCGCGGGTCCAAACGCCCGCCTTGGAAACGCATAGAAAGGCGTGCGCTGGTTGTAGGGCCCCAACAAAGCACATAAGCAAAGTTTAGGATAGGGAAATCCATATAAACCCCCTTATAATGAAGCCCAATATGATAGGGATATCCCCATAGAATGCTTATGCTTATGTGCTTTTTGGGTCCCTAAGATTAGGGTGTGCAAAGTGTTTGTAGAGTTTCTGCAGCATTCAGATAAGGCTTTATCATGCCTGTGTAGGGCGTACGGGGGAGAGTTTCATGAGGGTGCTATGCGCTGAGGGCTTTATCAGAGTTTCAGAGCCTGTTTAGGATGTACTTGTAGTGCCTTGTAGCTTCTAAGCGTGTTGCCAGCGTTATATGGAATCTACACTGGGTATGCAAGGTTATTTGGGCGGTGGGCTTTGGAGATTACAGAACCCCCCAAAACCCCCAAACCCCTGTGTGAATCCGAAACCCCAAACCCTGGAACTAGGCTGAAGTCTTACAGCACTGGTGCAAGAAGGATGGTGCAGGCTGTCCAAAACTGAAAAGATGTTATTACAAGCTTCTAGAACGGCTTCTGTTCTACACTAATTACAGTATCAGGTTCTACAATTATAAAGGATGTATAAAGACTGTAAGGGCTCTCTTTCATACCCATCAGCCCTAAATAACCCCGAGGCCCTACGACCTGAGCAGTTCCTGTACGAGCCGGGGCACGCAACAGGACGTGCAAGCATTGCAAGATATTGCATCCGGCTGCAATGCGCTGGCCTGACCCGCATGTTGAGGGGTGCATAAAGTGTGTGGAGTGGAGGTTTACATGCTTCACGTAGGGTTTTTTTGAGTTTGTGTGCGCTTAGGGAATTCTAATTCCAGGGGTTTGGATGGTTCTGGGCTCTTGGCCTTGGAGTCTTCTTGGGCCCGGGGAAAAGCGAATTTTTGCATTCGCGTGTCGCGGCGTTGCTGGGCTGAGGATTTGGTTGGAGTTGCGCTGTTGGGAGAGCCCAGGTCCGGTTCTTAGTAAGTAGACTTATAAGTACCCTAAAAGGGACCCTAATTTGGGGTTATCATTCTTATAAGTCCCCTAAAACAACCAGTTACTAAGTCCCCCGACACTCCAAGTTGGGGATAGATACCCGGAGACTCCAATATCCGCAAAGGAATATACCTTAAATCATATTAGGGATCCGACTCATATGATTTAAGATACCTGCCTTACATAAAAATATATACCTTAATCAAACAATATACCGCATTACAAACATATTAGGGTTCCTACTCATATTACCTAAGTATAGCACCCTTTAAACGGAAATCTAGGAAGGAACCCTATTCTCATTGCTATTAAGGCCCCTATATGGGAGTTTCCGAAAATAGGGGACCCTAATATAGCACCCTAAATAGTAGGATCCTTATTATAGGGACCTCAGAAGAAGGACCCCCTAATTTTCGGAAGCTCCCTAAACCCTAAACCCCTATAGATCCCTCGTAGGAACCCTTAAAAGACCCCTTTAAAGGAACCCTAAGGTACCCCTAATTTTCGGAAAGGCCTCTTAAGGCCCCCGGTTATATCCCCAGTTAAGGTACTTATAACTGTACCTACCAAGTCCCATAAACCTCCTATATTCAGGCCCCTGCCCGGAGTTTAGATTATAGAGGCCTTAATATTATGATTTAAGGTATACCCCTTAGAATTAAGGGGTATTGGGACCCCCTAAACCCTAAACCCTAAACGGTTTAGGTAAGGCCCCTGCCCGGAGGCTCTTTAGCGATCCCAGGCCGGTCTGCCACTGCAGCGCCGGAGCGCAAGCGCCTGGGACTGCCGAGGCTGCGAAGGGACTGCAAAAACCTAAGGTTCCTCTAAAGGGGTCTATAGGGGATCTATAGGGCTCCTTTAAAGGGATCTATAAGGGATCTAGAGGGCTCCTTTAAAGGGATCTATAAGGGATCTAGAGGGTTCCTTTAAAGGGATCTATAAGGGATCTATAGGGTTCCTCTAAAGGTGTCTATAGGGGATCTAGAGGGTTCCTTTAAATTTAAAGGGTTCTATAAGGGATCTATAGGGTTCCTATAAGGGATCTATAGGGCTCCTTTAAGGGATCTCCAGGGTTCCTTTAAGGGATCTATAGGGTTTAGGGTTTTTTCGATCCCCACAGAACCCAATGCCCCTTCATTAAGGAATATACCATTAAATCTTTAAGTGTATGAGATCTAAAAGGGTTCAAGTATATTCCTGAATTAGTTAAGACATATTCGAGTCTCTGGGACTACGAAGAGTGTGAGTTGTTTTTTTCCGAGGATGAGGGCTTAAGGTTAGTTTGGGGCTTAGGGTTTAGGGTTTTGGGGCTTAGGGGATTTAGTGGGCGTTGCAGACATTTCGTCGGGTTTGGTGTGCACCTAAGGGTCTGAACTCTACAAAGCTTGCTCGAGCATGCTGCCGTGAGACGCCAGCCCATACATGCGGAGACTAAAAGACTTGAACCTGGAACCGTCATCGTGTTCCCATGTCACTATGATGCAATCTGTCTGTAGCGTCGATCAAAGTAGCACACCTATATGGCTGATCGATCTCATCGACATCTCACCTAGTGGCCGGAAGCTTCTATCCTAGCACGAAGGGATCATAGCCTGCCGCTGCACGGGGTTTGGGGCTACAGATAATGGTTGGAGGGACCCTGATCTCTAGACGCTTGACCCCAAATTGTGGGTTTCAAGCGGTATGAACGGCTCAGCATGAAAGATGTTGAAAGCCAAGTTTAGGCCAGCGATTTCAGGTTTCGGGTGTAGGAGTTACAAGTTCGGGATTTACTTGGGGGGTTAGGGCGTTCTTGTTGTTTGGGGTCTTGGGCTTTGATGCCTCTGAGGCCCAACATCCCTGCAGGAATTCCCCTGCCTTGAAAGATCGGCCAAGCAGTGACAGTGGCAGTTTGTATTCTCGACAAGGGTACGCCCTTGGGACTGCTGCTGCCTCTCATTCTCCACAATATCTTAAGGACGATGGGGGCCTGAAGACGTAGATGGGGCCCGAAAGACTTAGATGGGGATTCCTTTAAGGGTTCCTTTCAAGGGCTCTGCCAGAGTGTCTGAAGAGTTAGAGTTGTTCTTCAGGCAGGGGCCTGGATACTGCGTATTTCATGTACATTTGCTGTTTCGTACAATTATGACAACGCAACCTAAGGAACCATGTTTCTAGCTATTCAGGCCACTACATTTCCGGAAGCCATGGAAACCATGGCCCATTGCCCGCGAAACATCGCTTACGAAGGGTCATGGAATCATGAAGGATCTCATCAGTCGAGATATTGAAAACTGAACTTTAAGATTCCGAGTTCAGGCTCTGAGGCGTGATGCTGCACGACCTGCTTGACAAGGCACTGATCGACGAGTTGTAACTGATGACCTGAGATGTGGGAGTGTAGTGTAAAGGCCTTCAGTAATAGAGTAGAGTGATGCAGGTGCTGTTGAGTATTTCCTCTAACAAGGAACCCAACAGTGGTTACTATCCAGGCTTCTACCCTAAACCCTAATACCCTAATACCCTAATACCCCAATACACTATACCATAAACCCTAAAACCATAAACCCTGAACCGTCTATAGTAGGGTTTGGGAGTTTTGGGTTCAGGCATCACTGCAAAAAAGCTGCAGACCAAGCCCCGTAAGCGCCACACTCTAATGCTTAGAGGTTCATGGTACTTACTTGGGGGGTCGGGGGACTTAGTTTGTAGGTAGTAAGTAGACTTATAAGTACCCCAAAAGGGACCCTAATTGGGTTATGGTACTTATAAGTCCCTAAAATAACCAGTTACTAAGTCCCCCGAACCTCCAAGTAGTAACTAGGGTTATAAATAAGGTAACTATACTTATAATTGGCAATATCCCCAGTTAAGGTACTTCTTCTTGTACTTACTAAGTCCCATGAACCTCCAAGTACCAAACTATAGAACGAAAATAGAATACCGATATCCTGGACCCTAAGCCCCTATGCCAGATGCTACCCTGATCAAAGGGGAAAAGGAGGAACCCTTAATGGGGACCCCTACCCTATAATGCGCTATATAATGGGTATAGAATAGCTATATTAAGGGTGTTTTCCTAGGGATCCTTCTTAAGGGTCCCTCCTTTTACCCTTGGACCTGAACCCCAAACTGCCCTAAACCTAAACCCGAACCGTAAACCGAAGCGAGTGGCATCTTTCTGCAGCGCCTGGTCGCGGAGAAGTTCCAGCATAAGGAGGCTCTGTTGCCATGCGGCCCCCTTCGCATGAGCCTCAGGCTACGAAGGGTTTGGGTTCAGGGTTTATTGTTCCGGTTTAGGGTTTAGAAGTGTTGAGGTTTCAGGTGTAGGGGCATGCGAGCCTTAAAGGGGCCTGAATACTAATCAGAGAAACGTGATATTAGAGTCAATACTCTTATGGCGGGCTAACGACAGGCAATATGAATCGTTCAGGCTTCTACAGTAAGGGTTTGTAGGGCTTTCAAGCTTTGCTAGAAGGGTTTCTTTATGGGCCACTAGCAGCGTTTTACTTATGATTGCTTCAGGCGTAGTGTGACGAAGTTCCATTGTGGCTTACAGGGTGTTGGAAGTGGTTTTACATGTTTTTCAGTGTTTCAAGAAGAGGTTTCCTTAATTGTAAAACCTCGATTAAAAACCTTGCTCAGGTAAGTGGGCTATATGAATCAAAACATCAGGCGTTTACGACACTGATGCCAGAAATATAATGCAGAACAGCCCTAAACCCTAAACCCTAGAGCCCTCAACCAAAAACCCTAAACTCTAGAGCCCTAAACCAAAAACCTAAACCCTCGAGCCCTAAACCCAACAACCCTAAACCCTAAGGCCCTAAACCTTAAACCCTAAACCCTGGAGCCCTAACCCCCCCCAAAGCCTGGTCTATGTAACACCGATTCATAAGCCATCGCGATCGTTGGCCCGTAACCCTACAACATAGTTTAGGGTCCTTAAGGTCATGCAGGCTTTAAATTATCAACCGTACGTATGTTAGACGGTTAGCGCGACGAAAGTAGAGGAGTTGCATCATCCTCCTCAGCACTGACCTCAAACCAGATCGAGGTAGTCCGAGGTCGTGGGGGAGTTCGCGACTTCCTGGGTCTTTGCATCTTCGCTGTTGTGCGTCTGGCAGTAGAAGAAGAGGCAGGCAGGGCTCTGTTCTCGGGAGCCCCGCAGCAGAGCTCTTGTCCCCGGCGGTGGCGGTATTGATAGTGCCTGAGTATCCACAGAGTCGCGAGAAGTCGCCGGTGCAACATCAGCCTGAGTCACCGAGACCGATTTCAACACAAGGCTTCCTGATTGGATTGTCAGTCGAGCCTGAGCCGGGGTGTTGTCCAGTTCCAGCTCTGATGGAATATGCGGTGGCAGCGGCTGGGTAGACCGACTCACGGTGCGAGGCTTCTTGGGCGGAGGATCCGCCTGGTCATCCTGATTCCCCGCTCGCTCGGCCGCTCGGATCTTCGGCTTGGGTCGAAATCGGGCCACAGTTTGGGGTTTAGGGCGAGCATCGCTTCCCTACCTGTCGGGTATCATGGAGAACTAAAGGTTAACCTTTTTGGCTCTATAGGGATTTTCTAGGGGCTATACTACCCAAAAAAGGTTAAAGGTTACCTACTCTTCCCATAGGCCCCATAGTAGTCCCTTTTTGGGATTACCTTATAGGATTCTATATACGAACCCCAAACACGAACCACTATGGGGCCTTTGGGCACTACTAGGCTTCTTCTTGCGGCTCTGGAACGCTGACGACAGCATTGTAGACGACCACCTGGAAGCATCGGCTGGCCGCTGGCTCTCTTTGGAGGTCGGAGGTCTAGAGAACCTTATGAGCTGTTGCAGCGATTTTACGGGAAGCTTAGTTAAGTCTTTAAAGCTTCATAAACGGTTTTGAGCAGGTAGTTTGGCAATTCAGGAATCTTCGGTAGTTTCCAAGACATGCTGTTCCAGACAGCATGTTTCGAAGGCCTCCAGAAGGGTTCCAAAGAGGGGTTGAGGGTTTAGGGTTCAGGGGTTACTTAAAGCGTCATGGGACTTAGTTACTAGGGCTATAATTAAGGTAACTATACTTAGAGTTACCTATAACCCCAATTAAGGTACCCATAACCTTACTTGCTAAGTCCCATGATCCTCCAAGTAGGGCTCTGCCATACCCTGCAGCAAAGACACGTCCCCCTGGACGCGGGCCGCCATGCCCGCATGCAGCACACCAAGAGCCTGCGGGCTTCAGCGTTTTAGGGTTTAGGGTTTAGGGGTCTATGTGAGCGAGCATGGTTGATGCGGAACTTCAGCGTGAAAAGTCCAAAAAGCAAACCCTGATGTTATACTCGTAATATACCCTATGATCTGAGTCCTCCAGCCATATGTCTTTTGGGGGTTAAGAGCTTGGAGTTTTGGGTTTGGGCTTTGCGGTTTACTGAGCCTTAGCAGGGTCTAGAGTTTAGGAAAAAGGATGCTTTCTTCGCTCTGAACTCCGCCCTACTTGCACTTAGAAGTATAAATAGGATAACCCCAGTTCCAGTGCGTAGATATAACCCCACTGAGCATATACGAAATCCCAGAAACTCCTAAGCAATACCTACCTAGCCCGTGTATTGGGTTCTGGTGGGGCTTCACCACTTCGTAATTACGGTTGATGATGTAAATCCTGCATGACCCATAATAAGGAATATACCATAACTCCCGTAGTTTAGGGTCCTTAAGGTAATGCAGGAGTCGTATCATCAACCGTAGGGCTCTTCTTCTTGTTGAGGAGCTTCCTTCAGAAGGGTTGTGTAAGGGCTTTCTAAGGTTCACTTACTACCCCAATAAGCCACAGAAATGAATGGTTCAACTTTCCGATTCCTACCAAGCTGTAAGAACCCAAAAAGTTGGGGATCTAAGTTCATTGTGAGGAACTTAAACCCTAAACCGATCCTTGGGCTTGAGCTGCAGGACTGTTCCTGGGCCGTCAGCCTCCCCGACGAATGGCGACGCAAATGGGTGGTTGGCAAAATTAGGGTCCCTTTTTGGGTCCTTATTCTAATACGGCACCTAATATTTAGGGTACCCACAAAGGGTCCATAATTTTGTCAACCACGCAAATGGAGAATTACGGTTTAGGTAGGGTTTCAGGGGTTAGGGTTGACGGCCAGAAGGGCAGTCATATAGGGGTCCATGTACAGGTAATCCTTTGTATGCCATTGGTGCTATAACTTTGCATTACAAACCCTATTTGCTACGCTTCATCTGGTCCTGGCAACCCCTTGCATTGCATAAAAAATTGAAAGCGCTTTTGGAGAGCCCAGACCTTCAAGCTTAAGCCCCCAAACCTCCGTACAAACCCAGGCGCCCAGCCTTCTCCCACTCCCCTGCTTTCTCACAAGCACCCACGGCCGCCGTAGAAGTAACGACATCTCCTCGTAGCAAACGTGCTGCAGTCTGGGGCGGGGCTCGACAACCCCAAAGCAACAAAGAACCCTAACCCCAAAACAAAGAACCCTGAACCTAAACCCAAAGCTAAGTTCAAAAGGAACCCCAACCCCCGAGAACAAAGAATGGAAGCCCAAATAGAATGCAAAGAAGAACCCTGAAGAAGCTAATAAGTTTGGTGGCAAAATATACCAAAACGTCCTCCAAAGCATATGCTATATTTTGCCGGAAAAGCCTTCTCCAATTGGTATGGCTCCTACATGACCTCTAATCCAAGGGTAGAAGGAAGGACCCTTGATAATGACCCCTAGGCATATATCCGTTATATATTATAGCTATTGTATAGCCCATTATATAACCCATTCGAGGATAGGAGTCCCCATTAAGGGTCCTTCCTTTTCCCATTTGATCCAAGATCTGCAATATTTGAATAATATTCATAATATAGATGTATTAGAACCTTAATAGTAGTCCCATTATAGACTCTTACTGTAAGGGGGCAGTACCTAAATCCTATAACCCTAAACCCTATGTAAACCTAAACCCTAAGCCCTAAACCCTAAACCCTATGTAAACCCTCAGCGCGTCCTGTCAGACGGCAGCTTGCCACGTCTGCCAGGAGACTCAAAGTCCGAGGCCATCCTGTGATCAAAGGGGAAAAGGAGGGACCCTTAATGGGGACCCCGACCCATAGGGAAGAGGGTTCCTTTAAAGGGGTCTATAAGGACTACTATAAGGGGCTATATTGAGGGTTTAGGGTTTAAGGTTTAGGATATAATGGGCTATATAATGGGTATAAAATAGCTATATCATATTTGAGGGTTTTTACCTAGGGGTTCTTATTAAGGGCCCCTCCTTCTACCCCTGGATGTGAGGAAGGGGTCCATACACCCAAACAGGGTTCCTTTAAGGATTCCTCTAAGGGTCCCTTTAAGGGCTCTATAGGTTTACTGTATAGGGTTTAGGTATATCCTATGTGAGTACATGGACCCTTAGAATATGAGGAAGGGGGCTGATTTCGGGCATATTCCTCAAGCAAGGGTTATGGCCCCAAACCCCGAAACCCTGAATGCCAAAACCCTAAACTCTAAACCCCTAAACCCTAAACCTTCAACCCCAGAACCCTGGACTCTGAACCCCTAAACCCTAAACCGAAAGACACCATGAAAAAAGCACAACACCCTACTTGGGGGGTCGGGGGACTTAGTAAGTAGTTAGTAAGTAGACTTATAAGTACCCGAAACGGGACCCGAATTGGGATTATGTTACTTATAAGTCCCTAATATAACCAGTTACTAAGTCCCCCGACCCTCCAAGTATCATACTGCAAAGCAATACAACAGCCTGCCAAAACACGTTTGAACCCTACGCCCTGAATCCCATGGCTTTCCTCCTCTCGAGCCCCCAAATGATCATGGGTTTAGACGTTCCCAGACGCCCGGGAGGATCCAAAAAGCAGAACCCTTAATGGGGGTCCCTTTAAGGGATCTATAGGGTTTTAGGCTTTAGGGTTTAGGGTAGATCCCTTAATGGGGGTTCCTATGAAGTGCCCGTAGTAGTATAGGGCCCCAAATTAGGGGATCTACTTTCCGGATCCTCCCGGGGGTCTGGGTTGTGGGCTTAGGCATTTAAGGCTTTTAGGGGTTGGGTGCTTAGGGGCTTTGGGCCTTTGGGTCGTACTTTGGGTGTAGAGCCTAGATTTTACAGCTTAGGGCTTAGGGGTTTGAGATTCTATGGGTTTGCCTGGCTTGTAGGAGCTCTGCACGGCTAGCGTTCTGCAGGGGTTTTTGAGGGCTGTGGTTCAGCGATGTAAGGGTGTAGTTTCAGTGCTTGGGGCTTGGTGTTCGGGGGTTCGGGGTTCAACACTTTCAGGACGCAGAGGTTTGGGCATAGGGAAGAGTTTAGGGTTGAGAGTGTACATCGTAATGTCGAACCGTGATGAATAATCCCGCCTCTTTACAGGCCTTAACTAGCATGTGGATCCCTGTGAGGTCATCCAATCTGGATAATACCCTAACCTTAATCTGCCCATCTAGAACGCTGGCATGACCCCTTAACCCTAAACCCTACACCCTAAGCCCTGGCTCTTCATGGGATTCAAACGGTTGTTCTCGGGTTTCTCTGGAACATAAACGGTGGAATCTGGGCGAGAACGGCGAAACCTCCGAACGACACTCTACCCAGAGAACCCAATACCCCTTTATTAAGGAATATACCTTAAATTATCTGGGGCTTAACAGTATGATTTAAGGCATATTCCTTAATTAAGGGGTATTGGGATCTCTGGGTAAAAGGGTCAGCAGCGGCGTCCTGCAGCACGGGCGCAAGCGGCCATACTAGCGTTGAAGGAGACCACATCCCTCCTGGGAGGATAGAGATTCGGTTCATGGACATCTCATGCCAACCCTGAACCCTAAACCTCAAAATCTCATGCCCCTAAACCCTAAACCCTCAATCCCTAAAATCCTCATGGTCCGAAACCTCTTACGAAAAGTCAAAAATTGCTGCCCTGAACAGTCTACAACCCGTCCAAAACCCTGAAAGCCTAAACATTGAAATCTCAACCGCGCACCCCCCCTCGCCCTTCCCCGCAAAAAAAGCACTCAATGAGCTCACAGCCGAAGGCCAAAAAAAGGCCAAGCATCTCCAGTCTCCACTTCTGCAAACCTCCAGGGGCTGCATTTTGTGGCGGCGTTAAGGCTTCGCATAGGGTGCCGTTAAACGGGCTCGTTCTTTTAACCGGCTCCTCAACACGAGTTGATTGAGTTTCTTCCAGGGTTATAACTTACGGTTTAGCCTCGGCACCTGAACGATTTCACTAGGTTTGGAGGGAAGATGGTATACGCAAGCCAGGAGCCCTGTGGAATGTTACTACTGAGTATTTAGGCCGCAGTACTACGGTTGATGATCTAAATCCTGCATTACCTTAAGGACCCTAAACTACGGGAATTACGGTATATTCCTTATTATGGGTCATGCAGGATTTGTATCATCAACCGTATGTACCCAGAACCGTCGGGGAGGATCTGAAGAGTAGATCTTCCTCTATGGAAGCCCCCTTCCGGGATCTACTTTTTAGATCTACCACAGGTCTGATACGGTTGATGACATGAATCCTGCATTACCCACAAAAAGGAATACACCATAATTCCCTCGTCTAGGGTCATAAAGGTTATGCAGTATTTATATGGGTAGTTGTCAAAATTAGGGTCCCTTTTTGGGTACCCTAAATAATAGGTGCCGTACTATAATAAGGACCCAAAAAGGGACCCTAACTTTGACAACCACCCATATCATCAAACCGTAGGTTCCTCAACCACACAGGCCTGCAAAGAGGCCCAGGGCAAGTTCCCAGCGCCCCACGCGGCTCAAGCAGGAAATGGCCTCGTCTTGCGACGAGTTGGACAGAATCTAGTACTTGGAGGTTCATGGGTGGTTATAAGTAGGGTAACTTATACTTATAGCCCATATTAGGGGACTTATATCCCCACTTACAACCACCCATGAACCCACAAAAAGGAAACTGAAAAGGCTCAAATGGTTTAGGGGCTTTAGGGTTTAAAGGGGGGGGTTTAGGGTTTAGGGGGTTTAGGGCTTGGGGGGTTTAGGGCTTAGGGGGCTAGAGTCCTCTATGGTTGCCCCAGAAACTTCAGAAGCCAGTACAAACTCCAACAGCAGCGCAGACACAAAAGAGAGCCCCTTGAAAGGCACCGCAAAAACCATCCCCAACTGGTTCAACCCCCGCCCCTGCCGAAATACGAAGTCCAAAACGACAGCAGCTCAAGAGCTCAAGGATTCTCAGCTTTAAACCCTAACTAAACCCCAGACCCCACATCCTGCCGCTTGGCTGCTGTGTTGAAAGATACAAGGTCGGCCCGCACGCGTGCGCTTTCCTTGTTTGAGCTTGGGGTATTTTTCCTAAACCCTAAACCCTAAACTGGGTTTAGGGAGTCGCTGGATCCATGATGACAGCCCTGATGGGAGCAAGGGCTGTCTGAATCAGATTCCTTCATGAAAACTCTGAAGCCCTAGAAATGCTACAACCATGCAGCCTGGTGGACGTCCTATTGCGATACGATGCTCCGCCTCAGCGAGGAGAGCCAAAACCCTGGCCCACTGCGAATTTCGTGCGGCCGCCGCCAATTCCTGGGTTCTTGTTAGGAGATTTAGAACATGCACTCTACGTTGCCATTTTATTTAGCATAGATATATCTATATATTATTGTCTCAAGCCAAGTTCATTAAGTTTCTCCACAAGAACCCAGATTCCAAGTTGTACGTGGTGAGGTCGTTCATCTGGAGCCGTCCTTGGAGAATGTCTTCGGCTCTCCGTTCGCAACATCATTACAAGCAGGACTGCATTTCGTGGTCCTCTGAAGCTCTCATTGCCCCTCTGTCACTGTTGAAACATGACACGCCTTGTGCAACGACTATCAGTGTCGTGACCGCTATGCCATCGAGCACTGTCTGAACTGGAAGTGTAATGCTAAGGTGACCATAACAACCACAACCACCGCTGCCGCAACTACAAGAACTGCGACGACCACGACGACACCGACTCGACGACGGCAGTTGATGATGTTGTTGCTTAGCTTTGCCCGTCGAAACTTGCTACGTAGCATCAACATGAAGGGGTCCTAATGACGATTGCAGTTCACTTTGGGTAACAAAGGCATCTAAGAAGAAATGTACCAATTTGTTGAACTGTTGCCTTCTTTATGGTGCATTGTTTACTCTACGTAGGGTCCCTGTTTACACAAAGACAAGACTGAACCTTCGTCGAGCCTCTGCTGGCATCAAGGCATGGGCGAACACACATAGCGTCGACAAGCCCTCTGCTTGAACTCTTTCGTAGTGATAGTGGTGGTGGTGCTGGCAGTGATGGCGGCAGTGATGGTGGTGCTGGTGGTGGTGGCGGCAGTGATGGTGGTGGTGATGGTGGTGCTGGCAGCACTAGCGGTAGCAGCAGCAGCAGCAGCAGTAGCAGTAGAGCTGGTGGTACTGTTGGTGCTAGTCGTTGTGGTAGGTGTTAAACCCTAACCCTGAAACCCCCAAAGTCCAATACCCTAGATCCGAGACGTCCTAAAGCCAAGCCTCAAACCCCATAGCCCTAAACACTCAAACCCTATACTATATCGCACCCAAACGTCAAGGGTCCAAAGGACCCAAGAATCAAGTACTCAGTTTTAGGATAGTAGTTATGTAGATTGGGGTTCTGGAAAGTATATGATTATTTGTACTTGGACCCTTGGGGGAAAGCCCTACACCCGGTAACAACAGAAGTCAGCGAATTTCGGCCCTGAAACTCTTCCAGGAGACCTTGAGATGCATAGGCATAGGCACCCAAGTTTCGGGCTTAGGGGTTGAAGGTGTTTAGGGCTCAGGGGTTGAGGGTTTAGGGTTTGACGGTCTTGAGGGCAAACTTCAAACCTTAGACTTCTGGTGGTTTGCACTGTATCGGCTCAGGATTCAGGGCCTCGGGGCTGTCCGTAGCTCGTAGGGGCCCCACGCAGTGTTCAGGGTTGTTATTTTGTGTGTATCCGGCCTTCGGGCTTCGAGTGCTGAATCTTGCAGTTCAGGGCTTAGGGCTTGGTGGGGTTTAGTTTAGGGTGATATGGAGAAAATGGTATTCCCTAGGGTTCCCTGATGTAAGTCTTGCATTGTACGGCTTAAGGCCTTTAAATAATGAGGGCGCCAGGGCTTTGAACTCATCCCAATAAACGTCCGCTAATTTAGGGGCCTTAATGATGAGAATAGGGTTCCTTTAAAGGGATCCTTTAAGGGATACTAGAAGGGTTCTATAAGGGATTTAAGGATATAGCAGCCTTAATAATTAGAATAGGGTTTTGGTGCCCATTATAATTACTAGAATTCTGATAAGGAACGACCGAAATAGTATTGTCAAGAATCTGGGCCCCTCTATTACTGCTACTGCAGGGCCAGGAAAACGACAGGGCTGTACAAAGCGCCCGGTGAGTGCGCAAACAAAGAGATGAAGTAAAGATGGTATACAGATGCACCTGCACATCCCCGAAAGCTGTAAGCCCCGACATACGTAGGGAGGCGGTCGGATGGAAGGCACTGGGCCGTCCCTGCTTCACAAGGTGGGCTCTGTGGAGTTGAGGGCAATGATGGGCCCGGCTTTAATCAGGGCTTTCGTGTTTAGGGTTTTGGGGGGGCAAACGAACCGCGGAGTCATCCCAAGCCGGTCTCGGATTCAGGATTGGGGTGTAGGATTGGGGTTCTGGGTAAAGGTGGGCAGTGTGCACCGAGTCGTTTCGCTCATGCGCATCGCTCGAGCTAGTAATAAAGCGAGTGATAAACTATACAAGTCTGCCAGCCCCCCCCGCGCGGATGTGGAATGTACACAGGGGTTTACCTGCTTGCAGTCTCTAGAATCTATAATGTAGGGGCCTTTACAATTAGAGTCGGGTTTTGGGGGGCTTCTCGTTGTAACTATAGTGTAATATACCCCCAAAACCCTAGTCTATTTGTTAAGGCCCCTACATTGCCAAAAAAGCTAAGCTGGCGCCTCAATGACGCTTGCTTGAAGGATCATGGGACTTAGTAAGTAGGTTATAATTGGGGTTATAAGTCCCCTAAGTGGGTTATCCTAATTATAACCTACTTATAACCTTACTTACTAAGTCCCATGAGCCTTTAAGTGGGGTTCGACCTCCGGGATCAGCTGAAGCTGACCTTGCCCTTCTTCACATCGGCTCGCAGATAGGATTTCCTGGGCTCTTCTTAGGGGATTTACTTTAGGGCTTAGGGTTTAGGGCTTAGGGTTTTAGGGTTTAGGGCTTAGGATTTGTCTGGGTTCCCAGAGAACGCAATACCCCTTAATTAAGGAACATACCTTAAATCATATTAGGGATCCTATTATGATTTAAGGTATATTCCTTAATTAAGGGGTAGTGGGATTCCTGGGTTTTTGTTAGGGGATTTACTCCAGGTTACCATAGTAGGCATCAATAGTAATATATTGTTATATACTGGATTTACTTTAGGCTACCATGATAGGGATTTGTACTAGATAATGTGGTTTCGTCATTATGGTACCTTGAATTTCAGCCCCTGCCCAGTGTCCCTTGCTTCCGCCCCCAAAACCTGACCCAACATCCCTAAACCCTAAATCCCAAAATGTTGAAAACAAGCTGAAGCTTTCACTTACTACCCCAATAAGCCACAGAAATAAAAGGTTAAACTTTCCGATTCCTACTAAGCTGTAAGAACCCAAAATGTTTAAAGGTTGGCTATTGGGGATCTAAGATTTTGAGAACAACCATAATAAAAAACAATAGGTTTAACATTCTCTTGGGTTTTATGTGAGCA